CAAAACAATCTGTTAGTGTCTCACCTAATGAGACCCTTCACTTAACAGCTTCGCTGAGACAGACAGGACATTTGATGCCTTTTTATATAAGGACTGTACTTAATAGTGGTAGAAAAACCGCTCAGCGGGTTTCTCCTATCAAGTTATTTCACCATCGACAAAACTGTCAGCACCTAAAAATGGACTCACTCTTAACAGTGTTCACAAAATAACATGTTTATTAATACAAATTTGTGACAATTTATGGTGTTCATTGTGTCTGGAATTAGGGTCTAACTGCAAAAAACACACATAAACTATGTAGTAATAATAATAATGCAAAGCATAGGCGCACATGCTAAAGCAAAAGCAACTTACAAAGAAGTAGAACAACTAACACATATATAATACCGCACAAATACTAATACCACAAAATTTAAGCAGAAACTCTAAAGCAAAAGCCACTTACAAACTTAAAGTAAAAAATAAAAATACTATGAAGCAAAAGTAAGCTCTAGTTATTTAGAAGCAGGTAATTAGCATGCCTAAAATAGATCTCACCTTCCAGGCTTCCCCAGAAGTGGAAGGAGAAAGGCAGCCCGTCAGCTACCTCCGCATAGTTGATGAACTTCTCGCTTACCCTGGCCGCCCACCTGCCCCCCTTCCTCCCCCTCCCCCAAGCAAAAAGAGATTTGCTTGGGTCCAATCGCTTTTTATGCCTTTTTCTTCAGTCAGTTTGACTGGCTATAGTCAATAAACTAATTTGGGGGTGATAGACAGATGAAATAGGCCCAAGGGTCCACTTCCTGAGTTCTCAGCAGCCAGGATGTTTGAAAAAGGGCCATATTATCTCCATATCACTCCTTTCTTCCTTTTAATCCTTTTATCAGTTTCTGGGAATGTCCCCCCAGGTGCTGGGGTTTTCCAGGAAACCATTACAAGGTTTTTTTCTCCTTTTGTGTAGCCTTTCTGTCACCTTGCATTACTGTCTTGGGCTAATCAGAGAATAGAGATTTAACTTCTTATTTGTTACCTATTCATACATTGACCTCTGTAGATCATTTATAAATGGTGGGTCTGCCAATTACTTGCAAGAGGTTTGTTCCCTACATTTTATGTAATGCATTTTACTTGAATTTTGGTTATGGAACAAGTGAAAACAATCAAGTTCTAGTAATCACTTAAATTGTTGTAAATTGTTCTTTCCAGGTGTCCTGTTGTCTGCTGTTATCCAAATGAACACATTAGACAAAGTCTTCTTCTTGGGTGGGGCTTTAGCCTTGAAACTGTAGCTGTTTTGGTAGATGAGTTTGCACCTGTGTAGAAATCTGTGACTTCCTTTGAGATTTTTTGTATTCATGTACAAAGAAAGGCTCAGACAGAAACCACTTCCATGCAGCCATTATCAAGTTTGGTGGACTTCTGGCAGCTGGAGAGGCCTAAAGCTTTGGAACAAGTTAAGTCATAACGTCAGAATTCAAAAACTGCCAGAAATGTGACTGTGAAATTTTTGACTGTGAAAAAAGCCCATTTATGTAAACATCAGTATACCCTTCTACAGTTAGTATCAACTTTAGTTAAGTGTGTTTGGATTCCAGCAGGTTCCATGAAGTTCTTGACCAACCATAGTTTGCACTAATGGTTGTTATTAGAGGAACTTAAATTTTTGTGGGGAAAAAAACCCAACCAATGAATAAGCCCACAAAATGAGCTGTGATCCCAATGAAAATGTACAGCTTAAAGATTGCTGGTTTAGATTCTGGAAGAAAGTATGAGTAAGTCAATGCCAGCTAAAAAAGACAGAAGAATCTACCTTCAAGGAGTGACTGTCAGAAATATCAGAAGTCTTTTAAAAATAATATATTTGGACTCATTGTGCTAAAGTTTTTGTATTCTTGTTTTTCTTCTGCAACCATGAATTTTATGCTTCTTTTTAATGTGAAAGCTGAACTTCTGAGTTAATTCTGTAACACTGAGTTACAACATTATTATTGCAATACTAAGAGTTGTAATAATAAAAAAAGTTCCAAATAACAGAAAACTTAAAGTAAAAATTGTAATAATAACATCAAAAAATGTCAGCAGACTTGTTCTGAAAATGCAGGTCTTTTAATTACCAATGGTGAAGTTTCTGGGCAACATCAAACTTCCCTCATCCTGAAGAGAGTTGGCTTTTTTTCTCTGTTGTGATCCTGGAGCCTCCTTTTCTTGCCCCACCATGGCATGAATTATTAATCACAACATTCCTGAGTGTGAACCCATGGGTACTGCAAAATTTATAATCAGTAGGGGTTGGTTGGTTTGTTTGTTTGTTTGGGTAAGGTTTGGGTGGGGTTTTTTGTTTTGTTTGGGATTTTTGGTCTAAGTTTTTTTTAAAACTTAGATATGAAGCTTATGCTGTTATTTCCACAAACTGGCTGTTGCTGTGTGACAATTAGTAAATATTAGCAAATATTAGGCAAGGAAAGAATTTAATCTATTCTGGCAGTAATACATTAGTACTTAATGTCAGTTATGTTGGATATGACCATGAAACACAGAATCTTTTCCCTTCCGGATAGATAAGATAGCAAAAGCCAAGGCATTGAACAGTGTAAATGTAGCCAATGTTTTGTGGCTAGGGTACAGCGCCTGGCACTTGTCAGAAAAGATGGTGAAGGAAGAGAGGGAAATTAGGATTTAATGATGATTTGCTTCCACATCCAAAGACAACATTCCCATCTTTAAATATCATGAGAAACAACATGTTTTCAAAAGTGATTCGTGATTTTTGAAAATGCATTTGAAAGTCTTTGAGTTCTCAAACCTAGGTGTTTTGCTGGGATCCATTTTTTCAGAGGGCCAGAGGTCCATTTGTTCTGCAAACAAGGGTTCCTTTGGGCTTTTTAGTGTGGATGGCATGAGCCTGAGGCATCCACAGTCAGAGATTGCCTTAGAAAAATCTTGCCCACTAAGAATTAAACTAGATGAGAGAAACAGGAGGAGCAAGTGCTTAGATAATGGAACACTGAATTATGTAAAATTAGCACTGGTTTACAAGCTGTGTCCAAGCCCATTTCAGTGAGTTCACTTTTTATCTCAAACTGTACTTGTTTCCAAATGGCAAAGCCTTTGAGCTCTGCCACAGGACACTTCTGGTCTTAAAAGTTTAACTGTGTTTCTAAAATGCAGCTGGTTTTATGCATCAGAACATTCTCCTAGAAGAAACATTTGAAAACTGTGATCATGGACCAGGGGTTGGTCTCAGGGCAGTCTCTCGTATCCCAAAATGCAACGTGTTGGCAGGTGATGAAATCAGAACACAATTTTACAATTTGTATAGAATATTCTGATGTTTATATGTCTTTGAGGCACAGCCGTTCAAGGGAAAAGGGACATTTTCTTTGGCTGGTTCCAATACACCTTGCTCCTTGGATCCATACTCTCTGCTTAGGTGTCTGGAAAATGTGCAAGGAAGAAGCTGCCAGGGTTGGTTCCACCTGATGTTATGAAAATAAATATCCATGCAGATTCTGATTTGCTTCAGAGTTGCACCAGAAGACAATATATTTTTAACATTTGGATCATTAACCTGTGTTTTACTTTTCACTTATGGACAGTTCAGTCTTTACTTGTGTGTATGCATGCCCTACCCCACAGAGATTTTTTACAATATAGTAGTAGTCAACAGCACAATAATGGAGAATTCATTAAGTGGTAAATGGCTGTACGTTACAATAACCTCATTCAGTTAAACATTACTTTCCTTCTTCTGCTTTCCTTATAAATGTCACGAAGTGGCTGTTACCCAAGGTTTTAAGTAGGTGAAACAGTAATGGTAATACAACTTATTTTTTAAGGCAACTTTCAATATACATGGCAAATTAATGTTCTCCCCTTTGGTGTGTTTATCTTCCTGTTGCAAAGATGTACAAGAAAACAAGAAGAAAATAACACTAGCTCCTGTTTGAATTGTATTTCTCTGATTATTTGTGTTTTTGCAGGGCCTGATTAATAGAGTATCCCAGTCATGTTGGTTTCACTTGAAACTGTTTGAACTAAACATTTCTGAATTAGATCATGATTCAATAGAGCAAGCAATTTAGGACTTAACTCCAGGCCTTGATAACCCAGAGCATGATTCTGTTGTGAAGATTGGTTTTAGTGGTGGGAAAGCTAGAAAAATCTTTCCATCCATCTTAATATTCACTTACCACAGTAGTTGTCTTCCAGTTCAATACTGACCTCTCAGTTAGGTGAACAGCACTTTGTCCATTTTCCTACAATTGTGCACCACAGCACAGATGTGCTTTTTTGATTGATGATATTCTAGTAGTAACAGATGTTTGGAAAAATTATTGTGACCTGTGTCACCAGCTCTAAGCCTGTACTGAATTTAGCCGGTCTAGGAGAAAGCAAGACCAAGTTATCTAATATATTTCACTATTATTTTTAAATTGAGATTTGCTTTCCTTGTGAGGAGATCTTGGCATCTCCAGGTGCCCTAATGCTCCCATGTTTGAAAGCTGTATGCATGGACTTCCTTGTTCTTACAACCTAAAATATCATTCTTCTTGTTCCTACCCTAGTTTTGCATGCACACAGTCTCTAGAAGCTTATTGAAATGTTACTTACAAATAAACATAGCTGTTCTTGTAACCAGATTGGCTGAGACAGCTTTCACATGTTTCAATGCACTTGGTGATGAGCAGTTGTAGGTGTTGCCTTTCCTATTTTCCCTGGTATCGTTTGTGACAGTAGCCTATACCATGGCTTACCTTTGGCTTTAGCTCCGTGGGACTATGGTGTGACCCAGGAGATTGATCCAGATAAACAGTGAGTTTTTCTTTTCTGAGTTGGGGCACAGATGAACAAGAAAAGGAGAGTTTTCAAAACAGTGTATCTGAGAACAGTGATCATATATCCTTCGCCTCACTAGGCCTTTGCTTCTCAATTGCCAAGGTGTGCCTCACAGCTGAAGTACTGTGTGTTGTTGTGGCCCAGCTTCCGGCTTAATGTTCTGTGCTCTTCCTTTATTGCAGCAATTCAGCTTTGTCTCCCTGCCCACGGACGTCCTGGAAATAGAAGTTAAAGACAAATTTGCAAAGAGCCGACCAATCATCAAACGTTTTCTGGGAAAACTTTCTATGCCGGTTCAACGCCTCTTGGAAAGACATGCCATAGGGTAAATTTTGCTGCTTTTGCTGCTTTCTGTTTTTCGACGAGTGTGTTGCTGTTTCGAAATCCCTGGTGATATATCATTATTGTGATACAACGATGTTGAGGGGAAGTTATTAAACTGACAGTTGTCTGATACGTGGTGTTCGTCTTAATTCGAATTTATAGGACTATGGGCCAGACAAAGAATTCCCTCTATAACTCTGTGCATGGCATTTTGAGAAATGAGAGCTGGCACTTAGGAAAGAAGACTTTCTTGCGTATCATGGCTGCGAATCTGGAGAGTGCAATATTTTCAATTTGAATATTCTTTAAATGTTGTCAGCAGGCTGTTTTCATATTTCAGGAAATTACCTATGGGCTAAAATCATACCAGATCTGGTTCTCCTCCCTTTAATTTCTGGAGAGCTGAAATATTATAAAAAAATATATGTGGCATGTTGTAACTAAAGCTTCCTGACCCTACCCTGCTGCCAAGGAACAACCTTGAGCTCACAAGTCCTGCCCTGCTTCCCCATTGCATGAAAGTCCTGAGAAAGTATATGCTGCCAAAATAATACAAACCAATTTGAGGAAGATGGATAGTATTCAGACAAAGCCAAAAAGTTGGCTCTAAGCCTGTAACCTTCAGACCTTGAAGAGCAGGGGAGAAAAAGAGTCATCTCCTAAGGAAAGCAGGAACAATGCAGTTTCCACGAAGGTATTTCTGAAAATTGTATCTCAATTCAGCAGAACAGCAGGAAGATGAGCTTGTTGGAAGTGTTTTTCAACAGCTGGTTCAGAAACTGGCTGTGATATTGACAGCTGAATCTACCAGAAGGGACTAAGCTACCTCCTTTTTTCTCAAGTAGGGAAGATAGAGTAGCTATTTAGAAACCAGATGGAAAAGAACAGCTTGGGGAAGTTAGAACACTGTAACTGGTATCATTGGCTTTCCGCTATATGAGAAGATTTCTTATCATCTTCTGGTTATAGCTTCCTATTTGACTTCCTTATGGTAAACACTGTCTATCTAAGGATGTACTTTGCCAAGAGCAGTGCCTCCAACCTGCACACTAGATATGGCTTAGTTTTAATACCCTATTGGCATTTAAATCTCAGGCAAGCTCAATGAGTATTCACACTAATTCAGAGAGGTCATACACAAGTCTTGAGATTGTCTCATTTATATGAGTTTCTGATGCATGTGAAGCTATCCTAGCAAATATATTTGGCACAACTGGAAGTGAACTATGTTTCTTCAAAAGATGTATAAATATTACTATTTAGTGAACCCGTTACACTCAAAAAATGCTTTGCAAAGATTGATTCAGCCGCATTGTGGGCAGCTGGGAAGTTAATCTCTTCTATAGTTTCGTTCTGTTCTGAGGGGTGGATGAAGTGTGGCAAAGGGAGGGACCTGCACAAGGACAGAATGGAGTCATTGATCAACCTTGTCAGGAAGGTGTTCTCCTGATATTTCAGCTTCATAGAGGTAAGAGGGGTGGAAAGAGATTAAGAGCAGTCATTCAGCCAGTTTGAAGAGAGAAGGTGGTAAGCGGGGAATGGCCTGCACAGGATTTTGTAGACAAGAACAGGAAAGATTCATTTTATGCGAGCGGAAGAAAATACAGAAATGTGAGGTTCTACAAAAGGGTAGATATGGTCAGATCTGCAGGGAAGCAAAGTCTTGTCACAATAGCTGAAGTGTGAGTTGTTTGCTTCCCATGTTGATATTTTCATATCCATACTGCAGAAGTTTCATTCCCACCATTCTCTCTATATTTATACATATGTGCTTGTGTATCCCAGCAGCCTGTCTTATTCACTTACTCAGCTGTTCCATTGTAATTGAAGACATTGTCCTCTCCTTCTCTGCCATTCGTTCTCTCGTATGCAAGTCAACATGCCCTCATGGCTGGGATAAATAGCCTTTATGTATTTGATTATGTATTTTTGTAGGACACAGCAGATTTATCTATGCACAGTAGACATTGGGTAGGTTATAGTCTATTGTGACAATATTTGTTTTCTTTCAGGGACAGAGTTGTAAGCTACACTCTGGGTCGCAGGCTTCCTACAGATCATGTCAGTGGCCAGCTGCAGTTCCGATTTGAAATAACTTCTTCCATCCATCCAGGTAACTCTCAGTCTTAACCCATCTCTTTTTTGTTTTGATTTTTTGGTGGTGGTGGTGGGTTTTTTTGTTTTGTTGGGTTTTTTTTTTTTTTTTTTTGTTTCCATTCTTTCTCTTCAGAAATCTGAATTTATTCCTGGATGCTCTAGGACTTCAGGTACAGTCATGAGCAAAGGGAAATGAATAAAGTCCCCCGTCACAGGACGCATTGTGAGTCACAATTTCTTCACTGTTTCCCCTTAGCTTAGAGCTACTGGTATCTCATATTCCCTTGTTCTTGGCTGCTTCAAATACTCTGCCACATCACTGGACAGAAAACTGAAGTCTGACCTGCTTCTCTATCACTTGCCCTTGTGAAGTGCTACATGGGCCATTGTTTGTAGGGTCATTGCATTTGAGCACTTCATAAATTAAAATGGACAATGTAATAGTAGAGATAATTAGAAATTTTTTTCATTTTGATTATTTTTAATGAAAAAGTAAAAATAAAACAAAAAATAATGCAGTGTTCCAGTCCTTCCCTCCTTTTTATGGTTTGGTTTTGGTTCACATTCTCTTGTAATTATACAGAAGTAACTGTCATGGTGGTGTAAGGTGGAACCTTGGTTTCCATGTCGCAGTCTCAATAGCATTTCTCAGGGACTCTCTGCCTGAGGGACTCTCTTCTCTCTCTGGTACACTTTGTCAAGCTAACAGCAGCTGCATTGGTGGCTGGAAATCATTACTTTCCCCTTGATGCAAAACCCAGATTTCTGTATTAGATGTATTTCAGTATTTAGATGGCGTAAAATAGCTCGGGTTGTTTGGTGCCTGGAAGGAGGTGGTACAGATGAGGATCACATCAAAGGATATTTTGGGGAAAGTTTTCGCCAAAGGGGTGTGAAAAACAGTTTTTTACATTCTCTGTTGTGGAGTCTTGCCAGCTTCAGCATGAAAAGAAGAATGTCATTAAAGTCTCGGGGAAGACTTCCTTGTCATTCCCATGATATTCCCTCCAATGCCAGTTTGGCTCAAAGAGGAATTTCAAGAAGGTGTTACCTTCAGGTTATGCTGCAAGGAGGCAGAGTGCTGCATACAAATCACCACCATAAGTAAGCCCGTGATTAAATCCACTGTACAAAGACTGCTTAGCAAAAAAAATCAACACTTCTTGATAGTTGTTCAGCTGCCCACGCATTTCACACTGTAATTTATGCTTTTAATTTTCTCAGATAGCTGTGGATGCTTGTGCCCCCCCAGCCAACCTCTGGTTCAGTCAATGCTTCTTATTAAAGACGTAATTAATTTCTTTTACTGTCTCATGCAGATGATGAAGAGGTCTCCATTAGTGCAGATCCTGAGCCAGCTGACCTCCAGGAAAGCCCTGTGAACAATCCCACAGAGGAAAGCCTCGGTGAGCCTCCATGCATCAACACAGTGACCTCAGAAAGTGCAGCTCCAGAACAGCTAAATGGATACAGTGTGAACAGTGTCGATAGCCCAGGGGCTGTCAAACCACCTGGGGAAGTCAACCAGAACAGCTTAAATGAAGAGCTAGCAGGAGATGGGGAGGTTGATGCGGTGCCAGTTCCTGAGCCCTTGGAATCCATCCCAGGAGAAATGCTTTCTTCTTTGAGTGCTACGGACCTCACAGAGCAGTCGACTCTGATGGCTTGCATGTCTCCTCCTGAGACTGAAGTTAGGGAAAATAACAAAGTCAATTCTGGTATTCAGGGAGATGGTGGAGTGACCAGCATAGAAACATTAGATATTGATGAGGTGAGTGCAGATGTGCATGCTGGCAAGGACTTAGAGAAGAGTCAGGAAGAAGATGAAGGGGCTTCAGCCCAGGAGGAGGAAGACAACAAGCTACAACTGAGGACCACAGCAAAGAGGAAAAACAGGCCGTGCTCCCTGCCTGTGTCTGAACTTGAGACGGTCATAGCTTCAGCCTGCGGTGAGCCAGAGACCCCTCGCACACACTACATACGGATCCACAACCTACTCCACAGCCTGCCCTCGGCACAGATGAGCAGTGATGGGGAAGAAGAACAAGATGGTGGCAATGGCGGGGAGAACGATGAGGAATCTACAGTCAAGGAGGTGCTGGATAAGGAAGTGGTCAGTGAGAGTGAGACCGTAGCAGCAGAGCCTCCTCTGGACAATGAGGCTGAAGAGAACTTCAGCCAGAGAACAGTGCCTCCTGAGACCTTGGATGAGCAACTCTCCGACTTAAATGATGGGCTGTTGGATGGGGAGCCCCTCAGGACAGGAAGCGAGAGCGAGTCAAGCTCCAGGCCCAATGGTGACAACGAGTGCGAAGCGTGCGACACCTCTTGCTACAGCCCCTCTTGCTACAGCACTTCCTGCTACAGCACTTCCTGCTACAGCACTTCTTGCTACAGCACCTCGTGTTATGACAGTAACAATCGCTTCTCCAGCCATACTCGCTTCTCCTCCGTCGACAGCGCAAAGATTTCTGAGAGCACAGTCTTTTCCTCACAGGATGATGATGAGGAGGAGAACAGTGCTTTTGAGTCAGTGCCAGATTCAGTGCAGAGCCCTGAGCTGGACAGGGAGCAAGTGGATGGCTCCTCCCAGTGGCCAGATGAACTAGTAGCTCATGCTGGGAATCCACAAAGAGCCACAGAGGGTCTAGACACCCCAATAGCAGGTCCAAGCAGCAGAAGAGAAGGTTAGATCCTGAGAATCGATGCGCTGAGCAACCCCGGTTATCTGGATGTCACGGAAGGCATCAGATAGTCGAGGTTTCAGATAGCTCAGTTTAGTTCTTACCAATTTGGTGGCTGTGAGCTGGGCCAGATATCAGGGAGGGTTGGATAATTGAGCCTTTCCTTAAAAATCCCAGCAAAACCAAATAAATCAGGTGGAGATCTGTCTATATGGATTCCTGTAGATATACGTGCATCATTATAAAATCAAGATTAGCTACTCTAGTTATGTGGCAAATCAGCATTATCACATCCACCTACTCATTCCTTTTTTCCTGGGATTGTTCCATTTCACACATCTGATGCGCTGCCATGCCTCTGATAGTTAGTGAAAGGACCAGTTTGTGCTTGTCAAAGGGCAAATATGCTGATTTGAACCAGATAAAGGGCCAGTTTCTGTATATTTGTTGTAATTCCCCAAGTATCAAAAAAATGTACCTCAGATGTCACAGATCATAGGGCAACTCAACAGAGATTTATATTTTTTCTTAGGCACTTTGGAAATTTAACTATCTTGAATAAAATTCTCATCTCCTTATCCTACCCTAGAGATAGAATATACTTTAAAATGTACTTTTTTTTGTCTTTGCAATTTAGGTGCTGTTTTTCCCAATTCCCCAAACAGTTAGATTAAATCCCTCCCTTTGGTAACTCATTTTGTGTTGTATGCAGTTACATAAAGAGAGGGGGTTGATCACTCATCTTTTCTTCAGCTAGCGTATCGTTTTTCTCCAGCTCTAGAAGTAAAGGACTCAACTGCAGCTAAGGAGTATGCAACAAGGTCAAGGGGTAGTCTTTGCATTCCCAAATTCTGAGTCATCTGTCTCCTTCTGTAAATGACACCAAATTAAAATGGCAGCAAAAGCATATCCTATTTGGGCATCACTGGGAAACCCCAACTAAAGCATCCTTCTACATTTTCCTTCTCCATTCCCAGTTTACTTACTCCCACCTTCCACTGCCACAGACCCAACCCATGCAGATAAAAGGTGTAAGGGTGGCCTTACGCACAGGCCTGTGTAAAGACTTTGTACACAACTGGGACTAGGGAGTTATTCAGACTGTAGCAGAATCTCGCCCAAAGAATTAAATTTTCAGACATATACAGGCATAGAAACCAAGTTTCCTTCCTTGCAGGCGAGAGGCTTTGCTTGTGGACAGCATTTATGTGGAAATATACCTAAGTGGGCATGAGCATGAGTATGTGTGAGACCATACCTACGGATTTGGTGGTTATTTTGGACTGTGTGTGCTTTTGATAGGGGATGTGGTGGGAGAGGGTGTCTTGTGCATATGGATTCAGTACGACACCAAGACTTGAGCCTATATAAAGGGCACTGCAGTGTTCACAGTGGCTTTGCCTTGGTTAGCTAAGGGCAAGCCCATCTCTTAGCACTCTCTTGGTGTCACCAGGGGTGCTTCAGTAAATGTGCATGTTGCTTCGTGACTTGGCAGCTGTTACAAGTACAGTAGATGTGGTCACCTCCATCCACTCCAGGTGACCGATACTACTACTATGCTTCCGCTGGCTTGGCGTAACTATCTTGACTAGGGGAGAGTCAATTTCGGTGAGGTAAGTAAAGAAACATAGATGGGTGATGTGGTAGTCAGTGCTACAACACCTGTAGTAACAGCACAGTTTTTAAGAGTATGGGAGATGGACTTTCAGCATTGAGTAATAAACTTACATAATCTGCCGTCTGTTCAAAACATGCAGCAGATACATCTGTGAGATACGCCTCTACACAAGTGGTTCGATGAAGACGTTTAACAGACCATACGGTGTCATCAGAGCACCTAGAAGAGGGAGTATTTTTGTCTAAGCAATTTTTCTCACTTCTGGATGGTGTGAGATTTTTTTACAGTTTTATACAAAATTGGCTTCTGCCTTCTAGCTGTTGGTTGTTTAAAAACAACAAAAAAACCCACCCATATTTTATTTTTTTTGGTAATTTTTTTACATTTGATAGCTATATGTTTGGGTTTTTGTGTAAAATGTTCGTTCTTAGGCTGTTAAGATTCTGACATTACAGACAGATAAACCAGCTACCACACAATGAGTTTGGTTTTGCATTCCAACATCCCCAGAACCATTCATATTTTTTTCTATGCATCTTTCTGATGCATGTAAATATTATATTTATGCAATTCAGATTGTATCTGTATTAACAAGCCTATCTGGAGCTGGAGGTTATAGTGAAAAACTGTTACCACGCATTATGAAAATATGTCCCTTCGTAGGATAAATAGTCCTGGTTTCTAAGATTTTAAGGACAGACCAAGAAGGAATCTTTATTCTGGAACCTTTGAAGTTTTAGTGAGCAGGTTCCTTATTCTCACAGTTAAGTCTAAGATGAGGAATGCTTTTTCATCCCTACTGTAACTTCTTAGTTTCTTAAAGGATTTTTTAAACATTGACTGGATCTTAAGTAACTTGTTCCTTTCAACAGAATGTCAGTTTGGACATTTACTTAGGTTTCATTTGTTTCATATTTTAGATATGGCAGGAGAGTTGGAACTAGATGATCTTAAGGTCCCTTCCAACCCAAACCATTCTATGATTCTATATATGGACATGTATACAATATTAGTGTTTAAAAACTTCCTCTGCACTGTCTACTGTGTGACTCCTTTTCTTCTTCTTCTTTCCCTCTTCTCTATCTCAGGTCTTCCTTCCTTATCTCAGATCCTGACTATTTCTCACTATCTTTTTTCTTTCTCTTCTACCACCTGTCTCCTATCTGTTTCTGATCCTTCTTTCATTCTCCTCCTTCCACGAAAGATGGACTCTGAATTTTGAAAAATACCTCTAAAAGAGGATGATCTGCTTTGCAGGGACTGCAAAATCCTGTCATTCTGGTACACATAGGCAGCCACTGATTCTTTGGAAAATCAGAGAAAGATCCAAGGCAGCTTTTAGCCTCTTATTCCAGTGGTGGGATAATTTAAAAGTTGGAATCAGGATTTTGCATGTTCCTGCCAATTTCTGCAGCAGCTTGAGTTTGGTTGTATATGAACAGTGTTTCTCAGAGATCAAGCCTGATTCTTCTCTCGCTTACACTTGTGTGCTTATGAGTCCAGAATCTGGCCCATAATAGTTTTGCATTGATTTGACTGCATTACTGTAATACTTCTTTACAATATGAGTTGTTATTAAAATAGGGCCTGAAAATAGGAATGCCCAGAGATGCTAGTACACCAGGTTAACCTCTTAGTAAAATAGTCACTTGTTTTACAGTAGCACATTTTTTGAACCACATTGTAAAAACAGTGAATGACTGTCAATGTCTTGAATATCTTGTCCATAGGTGATTGTCCTTTACTCCATAATTCTCAGCCAGTCAGCCAGCTTCCTTCTCTGAGGCCTGACCATCATCACTACCCAACTATCGATGAGCCTCTTCCACCAAGTAAGCTTTAGTTTTTTATTTTATTGCATTTTTTCAGCTTTTCCTGTTAACTCAAACACTGTAGAGGTCAGTATGTCTTTCTAATGAACCCTGTCTGTTCTGTATATACAGTCTACAGAACCCAAGCAATATGCCCATTTGTTTCCCTTATTGGATCCTGACTTCAAGTGTTGTCGTGTTATTTTGAACAAGCTCCACAACCTCCGTCTGCCTTGGTCTGTCTTCTTCCTTAGCCATGATGAAATGAAAATAGTAGTATTTCCCTGTTTCCAGTCAGTGTGTTTAGGCTCGAATGATTGGGTATCTGTCAGGTGTTCTGGAAGCCTTAATATAGAGCTTTCTGGGTGGTGTTTCAGCAAAGTACTCTGATTTTTCTATAATGTTTGTCTCCAGCTTTTCCATAACCAGTTTCAAAGATGGTTTGGGATGGCAGTCCCTGTGAGCTGTCAGGTCTGTAAGCAGGTCCAGCAGGAACCCTTTCGTGGTCAGGATGCTCCTGGGACAGACAGGTCCAAATCTGAACAAAACCAGCAGAAGCTGGGAAAAGACAGCTTATGTAGAGTGGTCTTCTACTGTCTTTGGATTTGATTATCAGTGATTTTTATGTTCATTATGAACTGTAGTGAATTCTACACTTGCGTTGAATAAAAATGACAGTCTTAAGTAGCATGATTGATTAGTAGCCTGGTAATACGGGATTTTTACCACGGAAGCAACTGCTGGAGGTGTTTTTACTTGTCTTTGTAGCCTTTCCCTTGGGTATTCCTGGAGGATTACCCTGCTTTTTGCATTGGCGTTCAGTGCCCAGCAGAGCGCACTCTATGCCCTGCAACGTGCTGCTGATCACCTTTCAACTTGAGCGCAGGATTTAACAGCCTGAAATGTGCAGTGCCTCACAAAAACAACCAGGCATATAAACAAAGCACTCTATTTTCTTCAAAGCCCAAGAAGGAAACACACTTATTTGGCCTGTGGTGCCCTTCACAAATAATTCATCATTTGCCAACCATGCTGTCAGTATTCCCTAAGCCGAAAATAGCCCTGATGCTGGCGTCAGCTGCACAGTTGCATGAATGATTCAAATGCCTTTAACCCAATGAAGTCTTATTAGAGTCCCACTGTGGCTTGCCAGTGAATGATGAAATGGGAATGCTTACCTCTGTAACAGGCAAATATTTCTCTTCCTCACACTCTTACCACAACACTTTGTGAATAGGGCACATTCTCCATTAGATGACTTAATGAAAGGATACTGACACCAGCTCAGGTAAACAAAATATACTGTAAATCTCTTTCATACTCTGCCATCATCGATTTAATATGTTTTTCCTCTTTCTTTTAATTATCCTCAAAAGGCAAGTATTTCTACCATCGATTTTCACAAGTGCTTCCACAAGGTTTAAGGACATGAAATGCAATGTGTGATGATAAAATACAGAAGTGATATCCCTTTGGAGGATTTTGTTTTAGCATTGGCATATAATATCATTTTTACAATAAAGGCTGACACTGTGGGCTTAAATATATTGATCTGAATAGAAATAAACCATACTAGGTTAATGTTGTGCGAAAAAAAAAAGTTTAATTGAATAATATCACTTAGAAAACCAGTTTCCAAAAACTCTTCATGAAATTCTACAGGAATTTCAAAATGAAAACTATAGCCTTAATCTAGAATTTTTTCTTTTTCTAGAATTCAGTGTCACTATCTCAGTGTGTTTAATGCCTCTTAATCCTAGATAAATAGTTCTTCAATCATGTGAAAGGAGGAACCTTTACCATTTAAACCTGAGTTATGTGATCAAACCTGGCACATGCAGTGCTAACTTCCATCTATAAGTAGAGGTGAAGATAATTTGCTGCAGGTTCAGCATTTATTGATTTTATTTAGGTCATGGAGAATCTTCTGGACAGTCTTCTTTGTCTTTTGAATAGTTTTCTGAGTAGCTTGATTTCATCATAAGCCCACAACAGTCGGTCTCAGGGAGGAAATTTAATTTCAGATAGTTTTATTTAGGAAAGTAAAGTAGAACAAATTCATTATTTATGTAGGAATTTCATAATGACCAGTATGAATGTTCAGGTCGATGTGAGATTAACAGAAGAATTGCAGAGTTTGTGGGGCCTCATAACGGCATTAATAGTCACCCCTTATTAAGCCTGTCTTTACTAGTACTGATGGCAGCCCTACAGAACTGAAGCAAAGTTGTGCCCATGTGCCCAGTTCAGAGCTGCTCTTTGCTGAAGGCGTGGCTGCTTGGAAAGGGAAAGGCAGTGTGCTTACTTTGCCCTGATGTTCCTGCCCGAAGAAGTTGTCTTCTGTTATAAATCAGAGCAGTATCAAAGCTGCTGTGAAATATGACTTGGCTGATGGAGGGGGATCACCGGAGAACAGAACCAGTACTGTCATGTCCCCAGCCTGTGCTCTAGCATGCTCTTACTGTAAAGGTTAGATGGAGGTTAGTCTTTGTAGTAGTCAGAGTCTTATTTTACCTGAAAAACTTAACAAAAAACCCTCAGGAAATCTGGCTGCTTCCTAGATCACCTATGCCTGTGAATTAGCATGAAGGGACTTGAGCACAGCTTAGAAGCAGAGTTCTGTCCGTCAGTTCACCTGTCAGCCTGTTTGTCTTACTGTGCAGGTATCCATCCATCTGTCCACAAATCTGGTATCGTATGCAGGCAGCTTCAGTGACTTGTGTGACTTACAGGTTGTCGTATGGGAAGGTAGAAAGTCCGTCTGCCACCTGAGTACAACAAAAGTTGTACCTGACACTCTCTGACAACCTTCCTGGGTGACCAGAAGAAGATTTATTCAGCAGATTAGAAATGCTATCGCAAGGAGCATGAGACACACAGTTCCTAATGTTTTAGCAGGCTAATGCCAGTGTCAGCCCATGGTTTCAGGTGTATGTACCCACAAAACAGTGAATAAAGCAACACTCACTTATAGGTGTGGCTCATGTTGTACATACTTTTGCCGTATGTCTGATACATCTGACAGAGACAACCTTCCTGAAGTCGTAATCCAGTCTGCATGATCCTGACCTGATGTTTTCACTGTGACCTCCAAGCTCTGGACAAGTTTCCTTACTCCTAAGTTTCCAAGTATTATGCTTGGAAGCTTAGGAACTCTAAGTTGTATTTAATTAGACAGACGCTGCGAGATAGACTCTAGAGCTGATAGTGCACAGGACTGGATCACGGAACCTTGTTTGACTGTGTATTCTTGCTAAGTGTCCATCAGGAGGCTTCAGACCACTATGACCAGGTGATGTCTTCTGTAGGCTGTCTAGAGTGTCAATCTACAGCATTGCCTACAAGCTTCTAATTATCCATCAGTCTTTATTATTCTCAACTTTTTACGAGGTACTGTAACAATAATGTGGGGTGAGGGCTAGAATTAGTCCTTTGCCAGACAACAGGAAGGAAAATGAAGATCTTCATGATGTTAAGGTACATCGTCTCACCTTTGATCTGGCCAAGGTTATTTCCTCGAGAATATTGCAGATAATGCTTAGCTCCAGAAGGACCATTCCCTACCCAAAGCAATACACCTGTCACCCATACCAGCATGCTTAGCAAGGCTCTGGCCTTCAACCTGCCTTATGTGTCAGTGTGACTTACTTCAATATGCATATGTTGTACTTGATGTGCTTTTTTTTCACTGTCTTATGTTTTAGACATGGTTTTCACAAAGCTGTGATCTTGTTCTTGAAACAGCTACAACATCCTTGGGAAACTTTACCTGGTGGAGTAAGAGAGAGTCCTCTCCTTAAATTATATAGTGATGTTCACAGTGAGAGACACTGCATGTATACCTGTGGTGTGACTATAGGTTTTGCATCTTCAAGGACTGTGGTACTTACAGTCAGCTTTGAAAGAAATAATGCATGTGCATATGGCTCTTGTTGTCTTGGAGTCTTACAGAAAATGTCTCCAAGGACTCTCAGTGCCCATCTTTAAAGGTTTGTGGGATTCACCTGTCAGGGACAGCCAGCCATAGACTTGAGACAGCCTACAATTTTCTGGGACCAAGTATAGGAAGTGGGTTTAGCCAGAGCCAGCATTCAGGAGATGGGAACTGGTCATGAAGGATAGGGGTCCAGATACAACAGTGAGAGTTACAACTTCAGTCCTGCTCTTAGAGAGTAGGAGATAAAATACATGAAGTATGAAATCTAGCTGATCCTGAATTTGATCATAGAAAACCATAGGACTCATCAGGGAAGATGGTATTATAGTGAGAGTGTGGGAATTTGGGGAAGTGTTTGCCCTCAAAGGTAATCACCATATGTGCATTTGTGTGTGAATGTGAGTGAGGTTTGTATATAAATTTGTGTAGAAGGTATGTGCATGTATTTACATAGATACGTAGTCAGCTGATGGGTCATGTAGCAATATGAAACTAGCAAGCCTGATTTATTCCACTTCTCCATACATTCGGACCAGTTTGATATGTGGCTTTGCTAGCTAACTCACTTCTGAATTTCTCCTGTTTCAAACAGTTTTTTTATCATTACCATTTTCCACAAGCCATCATATACCAAATAGGTTTTAGTTTTCAGTCATGGGACAACATAAACATTATCAGGAAACAATAATGATGGAAGGCTCAATATTATGCTGCAAACTCTCAATCTAGTTTGCATTCATCAGAGCAATAGATTTACAATACTCTCTTTAGAGAGATTTCTGTGTCCAATCAGTTTGTGATCAGCTTTCAGGGAAGCCTTTAATTGCTCTGTGGTGTCCTTCAAAGCCACTTAATAAAAAGGAGAAAAATGAAACATGTTTGTTCTGAAACATAACAAAAAAAGAAAACATGGGTTTTCCCATATTAGCTCAGGTGTAATCTTTTTCTACTAAGAGTCAGTTCTATGTGGCTACTCTGACCTGCAGTGAATCCAGCCAACAAGTATCACCAACTGAAAAACTATCTAGCCCTTTTGAAAATGCAGCCACTATGTCACTAGCTTTTCATGGGCTATGGTAGTGAATTCCATGGCCTACCTGTGTGCTGTGTATGAAATGTTTATGTATATGCATATACTGCATATATGTATATAGAGACAAGCACATAGTATATATGCACCTTTGAATGTATACACATAATATATATTGCACGCATGTAGGCTATATATATGGTGTCTCCTGTGTGTATACACCCAGTCCGTCTATATGTGTGTATCTGTATGTGTCTCCCACATTTAGGTTTTCTGGAAGGCATCACACTGACAGCATCACCCCTTCCTTTTTTTCCCACACTAGATTGGGAAGCTCGGATAGACAGCCACGGGAGGGTATTCTACGTTGATCATGTCAACCGAACCACCACGTGGCAGCGCCCCACAGCCGCGGCAACGCCGGATGGGATCCACAGGTCTGGCTCCATCCAGCAAATGGAGCAGCTGAACCGGCGGTGAGCATTAGCGCCTAAATTCCTTTGAGATCCGTGCTCTCCTTTTTCTACACTGCCCCAGTAGCTTCCTTCTTTCTCCAGTGCACCGCTTTGACTCCCTAAGGATTTATCTTTCCTCCTTGTCCAAATTCTTGTCCCTGCTGCTGATCTCTTTCAGCCTGCAGGTGTGCCTGCTGTGGGTGTCTGGTACGCAAACTTGCCCACAAGTGCAGTGCTGTTGAGTGAACGATATTGCAAAACGTTTCAAACAGCAAGAAGAGGCTTTTTGGAGAAGTTTCCTGAAATGACTGCCAGAAGGGAAGGGAGGAGTCTTCTAAAAGATGGAGTCACTTTTGTTATTTAACTGTAGGAGGGGTGTCGATGGGTCGGAACCTTGTACTGTACTGTTTCTGAAATTGCTGCCATATCAGTGTGGCATTTCTACTCGAGCTAATAAGGCCTGCTGAAAGGTCTGTCTCCTTTCCCAGAGCAGAGCCCTGCACTAATAGGACCGTGCACATTTCTAGATGTAGACAGGTCTGCTTAACGTTGCATTGGGCCCTGTAAATCTGTCAGTTCGTTCTGAGCTGGTTGAAATATCTCTTAACATGTCTTATAGTTTCACTTTGTTTGACTAGTCCACACATAGATTTTGTCATTTTCTTCTCATGTTTGCTTTTTAGACTGAATTTAAGAGGGAAAAGAAAAAATAAACAGTTGTTCAAAAATCTTCCTTTTTTTTGCTTCAGAAAAAGTTTTGGGTTGTTTTTTTTTTTTTATTCCCTGCTTACTGTAATAATGCCATTTCTAGAAAAAGACAGGCAAAACTGAAATTATATTTTAATTATAGCATGTAAAATGCCACAAAAGTTTTTTGATCTTTTTTCTGTGCTAAGAGAAAGATCTGCAACTGAGAGAGGGGTGCAGAATTTTAAAGTGCTCCTCTCAGAGTACTTTGAATAATTTGGGAGCTACTATGCCCTGAATGGGGCAGTCTGGGAGAACTGGGCCCTGAGTGACAACAATTAGAAAGGTAATATAACTCATGGAGAGCAAACCAGCCTTCCCAAAGTGGTTGTTTTGCAACTTACGTTGACACCATCAGCACGTTCTTGAAGAATTAATCTTTTTTTTACTGGAATTTGTAATTTTGATTAGCATTTCTTAAATTGTGTTATATCTTGCAGAAGTGAGAGAAACTGCAGTATTTGTTTTCGTTATAGCTTTGCTCATGAAGTCTCAAGCTACCATGTTAATGTAGAAAAAAACAAAACTCTATAAAGAAAGTGAATGTTTTATGTAGATTCTTTCATGGGATTTGCATGACTTCTCTGCCATTTAGCATTGGTCTTTAAGAGGGATTTGAGCCATGTCAAAGCTCAGACTATTTGGCTGCCACTTAAGCAAGTTATCTGCCACAGAAAGCAGAAAAGTTGTGGACATATATCAGATTTTTTAAAAATTTTTTTGAGGTTGAACTCATGGAAGCTCATCACAACTATGGAAGGAATAAATGCTTGTGAGAGTGATTTACCATTCTGTTAGTTAATGCAGGTTAATCATTAAACCAGCTATCACAGCAGACACTGAAGGATAGACATTGTCTTTGTGACCTCCTTCTTTCATATTATGCCATGTTTTCATATAGGCTGTCTGCCTGTCTTGGTTGTGATGTGATTATCACTAGCTTGTGTTGGGAACTGACAGTTAATAAGGCTGATGTTCTTCTGATCTCTCTGTTTTTAGTATTCATATATCCAATTACAAAGGGAGAAGTATGGAGGGGTTTCAGCAGTGGCATATCTCTCTTTACCCAAGTCCCATTGGAGACTAAGCACTTTGCCATTTATTAAACATGAACTCTCATGACTTCTTGGGGCTAAGGAAAAAAGCTGGTGATTCTCTACTGTCTGCCAAGGAGCTCTGTTGATTCAAGAAGCTGAATATGAAAGTCTTCTACCAAGTTTGGAACATTTCCTATGATTCTAATAGAAGGGATTCATACTCTGAGCATTTGTCCAGTGACAAGTCGTTTCTGTAATTTCAGCCTGACTGGATTTTTTAATTATTGTTGTCCTAAATCTAATTTCAGATATTTCATGTCTCCACATTTCAGGATTGTGAGGAAAGCTGCTTTTCATAAATAGTTATTATCAATGCTGTGAAGGATTGGGCTTTGTTTTGAGCACTCATTTTAGAAATACTGTTTTGTTGTATTTCAAAGTTCACAATTTGAAATGTTTTTGAAATGAAAGAATCATTTTAGGTGAGGCAACAGCAAGCATAGACCTTGCTGACAGAATTAGCAGCAGCCTGAACTTTTGCACTAACCTCAAACAAAATTTGGACTCAAAATCACTCAGCAGTTTGAAAAAACTTGGTGACTTTTCTTTTTAAATCAATTTACTTACTTTTTGGCTTCCTGGTTTTGTTTGTGGAAGGGAATGGAAAGACCAAAATATTACAAGGAAGCCTGGTATTTCCAGCCCAGCCAAAACCACAAAGCTTTGGAAATTCAGCTTGAAAAAGAAACCTGTAGCTGTGATTAAGCCTAGTCCTGCTTTCCTTCTGTGCTCCAAGCTTCCCTTTAGCTGTACTAGCCACTTGAGGATACAGGGAATGCAAAACTGGAATCCAGGTGTTGGGCAAACACCAAAGAGACATCCATATTTCTTATTTTAAAGGCTCTTGCTCATTTTCTGCAGCACTACCTGACTTACTTACTTGTTGGCAAAGCAGATAACAGCCCTTGTTGTCCAAGCTCTGTTGAGAAGATATTTTGCAGCATATGTATGTCTAGATTTGTCTGTGCACTTGTTTGAAAGATAATAAGTAACATAAGAAATTACAACCACAATAGTTAAGACAGCCACAGCATGGTATTTCTTAATCTCCATTTCTCTGACAAATCATTTTGAACAGTTACTGAAATTTCCAGAGGCATTCTCATAACTTTTGCACTTTCAATGTTTTGTCCAATTACTTTGGCATTTTCTGGTATTTATACAAGGTTATTTTATAGTATTGAGACCCAAAAGAAAGGCGCAGCCTTTTGTTGGCATACAGCTAGCGTTACTCTTTGAGGGTTGCCAATAGGGATTTTCTACCATCTAATTAAATCGAAGGTACGAGGTTTTTCTATATGTGTGCTTATATTCCTTGATTATATGAACGTGTGTGGGGGGGGGATGTTTGGGGTTTTTTTCCCTTTCTTTTTCCCTTTTCCCTTTGTTGTGTGTGGGTGTTGTAAAACTCCTCCAGTACTGGAATGGAACATTCATTCAATTGCCTGCAGTCAAGTGAATAAAACTGTAAAATGTAGCTCTAAAACAGGGGGTTTAAAACTGCAGTAAATTCATGCTGTAGCAAAACCTGCTATCAGAATTTCCTTGTAAAGATGAATGTTTTCTTAAACTATCAAAATATATGCTAAATGTAGCTTCAAATGAATTTGAGTACTGTAGGGGGACACATAGTATTGTGAAAGTTTGGCATAAATCTATTAAAACTTTGATTATTTTTCTTAATTATCTCCAGGCCTTCTGCTTAGGATTAAGTTGCAGTGAGCTACTGGAGATGAAGTCTTTTGAGATATCAAAAAGCCAAATCCTAACTACTTGTCTTTAATGATCCTGTGTCCCCTTGAGGAACTAACTTCAAATTTGGAATAAAGTGTGCATTAACAAATAAAGAGAGAAAAAGTAGTTAAAATATGCAAGTCTGAACTCGAGTTGAGGAAAGAGAAAAGAGTATAAGTCAGAAAAATGAAAGACAAACAATGCTGAATCAGATTAAATGCAGTCAATAAAGCCATCCCCTTCAAATACGTACAGCAATGCTATCCATAAAGAGTGATTAAAAATATTGGGGTGAAGTAAAAGCTAATTAAGATAGCTAATTAAATAATTAAGATAGCCTGTTTTTTATTTTTGCTTTTCTTCCTGATTCCGGTTCCTTCTTTCTCTTTCTCCTTATGATTTCTCTCTCTTCTTTTTTTCTCTTCTCTTCTCTTCTCTTCTCTTCTCTTCTCTTCTCTTCTCTTCTCTTCTCTTCTCTTCTCTTCTCTTCTCTTCTCTTCTCTTCTCTTCTCTTCTCTTCGCTTCTCTTCTCTTCTCTTCTCTTCTCTTCTCTTCTCTTCTCTTCTCTTCTCTTCTCTTCTCTTCTCTTCTCTTCTCTTCTCTTCTCTTCTCTTCTCTTCTCTTCTCTTCTCTTCTCTTCTCTTCTCTTCTCTCTCTTCTCTTCTCTTCTCTTCTCTTCTCTTCTCTTCTCTTCTCTTCTCTTCTCTTCTCTTCTCTTCTCTCTTCTCTTCAAAATGTAAGACAAATTCATAGCTTGCCAATAGAATCAAAGAAAACATATTCACTCATTCATCTGTGAGTATGAGTGAACTAGTTAATGAGAATTTGCTTTCTGTAGTGTGAATTCAAAACACTCCAGGATATTTGTTCCTGATGTGGTAAAGTGTTTAGAATTGAGCTCATGCCTAAGACCATGATCAGGTCCACTGACAACAACTAATATGGCAATTAATTCCTTGATTAAAATGCAAATGACATTATAGTTTTTAAAGATATTCACATGTTTCTATTCAGAGTTTTTTTGTCACCCTCCTCACTTTTTGTTTGCTTATTCTATATTGTTTCCCTTCCTTGTTTTACAGCTAGTCACCACCAATGCCCAATCCCACTGATTTCCAAAAATGGGCATAACACTTTTATCTTCACACTGTTCACTTAGCTATCATGTTACAACCTATTCTACTTTTTTGTAGCTGTCATATCAATTAAATTGTAGCTCTTTGAGGTCACACCACCTGCTAGTTTACATTCCATTGCCTACCAAAATGGAAGTATTCACAACTGTAGTCCATGCAGCATCATAATAAATACTTTGTGAACACTTTTAATAGCTTTTGCCTTTTTAGGGTTGAGCATGTGCATCCAATAATTTAATAAGAAAGACTGAAGGGTACTCAGCATGTCACAGGGTTGATTCTTACTTCATTAGTTATGCTTCCATAAGACTAAATGAGAGGAGGAACCATGGTCCACCTGTTGTTTCAGGTTCCAGGTGTCCAGATGTTTTAAAGAGAAGCCTAGTAGTAGCAACCTGTATCCAAAGCATCTGTTTAAACTTAACCTTTGGGTATTCCTGACTTTGCACTCTCTGTAGCTGTTTGTTAGTCACTGCAAAATGCCATGTTTGCAGAGAAGTGGTTGTGGCTCAAGTGTGAGCACCTGCACCAGCCAAAGAAGAGTCGGGTGTGCTCTTACTCTGCTGGATGCTGAAGACAGAAGTGTTGGAGTCCTTCAGAAACAGTGCTGATAGTTAAGGCAGAAAGCACCAGAAAGCTCCTCTGTTAACTAAAGTATGGTGTTCCTTTCTATGAATACATCTAGATACCAAAACATCCAGCGAACAATCGCAACAGAGCGGACTGACGATGATGCTGTGGTAAACAACAGGGTGGAGAGAGTTCCCACTGGAGGAGGAAGTGACTCTGAGGCAGAGCCTTCTCAGCCAAGCTCAGGTATGGGGGGGAAAGCTTTTGAGTGGCATGTTCAGTGCCATTCAGCTCTGGGAAACCTGCACTTCCAGGAGAGACAGGAACTTTATTATACCAGGTTGCAAAGATTAATAAAAAAAAAAAAAAAAGACTTTGACTTGAAGCAACAGTTTTTAGACCTGAAGCTACAGGTATAAAGCTAGGTATAAAAGGTCCTCTGTTCTTTTTTAACAACTACTACAAAAAATACAAAGCATTTTTACCTTGGTAAAAGACTACTTTAAATTAAAATGGAAAAGGTGTCTGGTTTTTATTCACCCAGTAGTTGTAAAAATGGTGCTGTCTTATTTTTGCTGCAGTGTGATTTTTAGCTTGGGGCATTGCAGTTTCTTCTCTCTAGGCCTGACTTCTGCACTGCCACATTTGCTTATGTGATTGCACCTGCAGTGGCCCTGGCATCAAGTGTGAAATACTTGTGGTTTTTAAAGCTGCAATTTTGTGATAGCTATGAGCTGATCTAAGTGTGGGCTGTGGACTGGCACAGCTATCTTTTTGCTCATCACTAATTTATGTGACAGGACCCCATACCAGAGTGGAGAACTGATCTGCCTGAAAAATAGCCTGGTTTCTTGTCCTTGTCATTTACAGCCAGAAATGGTTCTTTCATTTATCTTGTTAGATGACCAGACAAAAATGAGTGTCACTACCAAGAAGAGGAGAATGTGTACCCAAGACAGGATGGGATGGCAGGGGTCTCTTCTACTCTTTTTGGTGATAGTCAGACTCATGTTTTCTTAAAACATTTGGGGAATCATAGCCTAAGTGTTTGTTTCAGGTAAGAAGCACTAGCAATCAGACTAGTGCCCACTATGCAACTTGAGGCCATGCAAAAATAAGCTGCTTTGTTTGAGAATTTGCACCACCAAAATGATTAACCAGTTCTCTTCCTCTGGATTATTCTTACCCGCTACCTAACTTTGTGTTCTGTATTTTCTGCCACAAGTAAATCTGACTTCTTGCTACCTTTTTGCCATCCCTCTCTAAATAGCACTGGCAAAGAACCAACATGATATCTGGTTGAATTTTCTTAGTTTTCCATGTTGAATAGGAAAAATTACACAAAGAAATAATAAATTTTTTTAAAAAGTTTAGAAAAATACTCGATTTTGTTTGTTTTCCTGATCCATTGGGTGGTTTTAGCTGGAAAATAAATTTTGTCAACGATGTTAAACATTAGATATTTAAAGCTTCCTTGCAGTCTTTTGTGTTGCAATTTATGGGAGACTTCTATGTACACTAGATCATTTAAGGAGATCCCAGTTCTCTCTGTTAGAAGCTGAAGTGGAAGTAAGGTACACATTGTATTTTTAGTATTTATACGTAATGTAGCCATTACTTGTAATATGTATAGTTATTTAGTATCATAGCCAATATAATAAAATAGTAATTTAATAGGAGTTGCTACTAGTAAGTATTTTATTCAGTTCATTATGTAACGTTCACTCTTTTATTTTAAACTCAACGAGCTAATGGGTATAATAAATGTTATCATAAGTTATTAGGAAATGGTTTTTGCTATAGATAATTACTTTGTTTTTAGGAGAAAATGTCAATATTGTATAAAATGCCAAGAATTAAAAGGTCAAGAATGGTGTAAACACACTAGAGAAAAAAAAAGCTGCAGTGTGATACATTTGTTATTTGTCTTTTAATTTAAATGAAAAATGTCAGAAGGAATACATTTTAGGCACATTAATCCAGATTCTAAGCCAGTATAAATGAATTTAATTCCAGCAATGGATACAGTCTGCAGTTTTAAGTGGATAAAATAATACAATGTGTCCAACAGGAAGAAAAAAAAGTTATAATTAATAAGAAAAGAAATGGTAATCTATATTTATTCTGTTAATGATGTCTGCATCCAATTTCCTTGGACTGCAAATAAAATTTGGCTTTATTTGAAAATGCCAGAACACCCAAGCCATAATTCCATGGTAGGAAATATTTTTCTGGTGTCTGTAGAAGGTCAGGAGTTTCTATCTCTACAGAGTTACATTCTCAAATGCTCAGTTCTGATCCTGTGCTTCATTACTTGATACAGATTAAAAATAATCCTATTGTGTCTTGTTTTGTTTTCTTTACCATACAAGTCCCCAAAACCATGGACTTGCCAAAAATAAGGCAATTAAAGTAAAGAGCAATGCTGGATTGGGAGATCAGATCCCTCTAAAATCAGCAATGGGGAGAACCAGTATGGACCTGGGTGACAGTGCTGAACCAAACTATCAGCTGGTAAAAACTGCTGAGGTCACATTGTATTTAGAGACAGAAGCAGATATGACACAGAGTTTCATAACCTACAGTTCAGAAAGCCATCCAGCCCCTGCACTGCTGTGGTAAACAAGGCACCACATTCTGTCAGTTTGCCAGCAGGCTAGTCTTGGGAATGCCAAGAGGGTGCATCAGGCAGGTGGTAACTTTTTTATACTGTCACTTTTGCAGCTGTTCATTAAAGGTTAAATAGTAGACTGTGCTTCCCACTACATTAATAATATTTTGTGGTTTGTTTGTTTTTTGTCCAGAGATTAGGAGGGAAGGTTCCCTTTCTCCTGTGAATTCTCAGAAAATCACCTTGTTGCTGCAGTCTCCCGCTGTGAAGTTCATCACCAATCCTGAGTTCTTCACTGTGCTGCATGCAAACTATGTGAGTAATGATGATTTGCTCTCTCGCACTACTGATTTCTGAGTCCAAATGCAGCGCCCCAGGCCTTCAGGGAGAATGGCTAGTGAATTTGAGTTATGTGACATAGGGCTCAGCTGTCCTTTCTCAGCACCAGAGTAGGCTGGGGACACTACAGGCAGGCTGCTCCAACAAGACTCTTGCTGAGATTCTGCCTCACGCAAGAAATTCCATGGTACAGAAAAGCTCATTAGCGTTTTCCTCTCAGAAATAAGCAGGAATCCTTGTTTTCAGCTTGTTTGATCCTGTTGTCTGTTGCTGCAGGGAGTAATGTTGTTGCCTTTTGAGCCCACCATCCTGAGAAATCTTTCTCAGATACTGCCAAGTCTCAGGGAAATAGAGGGGAAAAAATGACGCATGCAATTTGCATTCCCGAAAATCAGGCAGGCATAATGGAGTAAAAGAAATACTGACTTGAGTTAGTGAAGCTATTTTGGGAAAAACACAAATAAAAATGAATTTTCAAAATTAAAATATCTTTTTTTTTTATTTATACAGTAAAACTACACATTTTCTTGCAAACCTATAGTGGAGTGTAAAAAAAATCTAATATCAGGAGGAAGCAGATAGGGGAGTCCTACGAAGAGATGCAGTCCTACTTTACCGTGTCTTGAATGTAGTTCAACTAGGAATCTACACGTGACTTCTGAATATTTGGAAAATCATTCATTTCTGGAGAGCAATGACCTTTCTTTTTGAAAGGAAAAGAAAGTAAAACACTTGGAGAGTCGCCTCAGCACAGGTTTTTAGCTAACTACAGACATCAGGTTTTGGCTGTGGCACCTGGTGGATTGAAGCCAGGTGTCCATCTCCAAGCATGTGCCAGAGATTATTGCCCATGAAACCCTACCAAGGAAGGGGATATATTACCTCGTCTGACATTACATGAACTAAATTATGGAGTGCAGACAATTTCTTACATTGACAGGGTGATTATGTGATGATTTATAGCTGAGAGCAATGTAATTTTCAGTCAGTATAGCTGTTTGAAAAATGAGGAACTGATTCCATAGTTGTGTAAGGAACAGTCACAACGGTCTAAATCCCAGTTTTATTTCTCACTGAAATAAAAAAAAAAAGCCAAAAGAGGCCTTCAGTTTGAGCTTATAAACTTGTCTCTAATGCGAGAACCAGAATAATCTATTGAAATATCTGTCAAGTGCTCATACAGATTCAACTTGTACAGAAATAATGGCCTCACATAACTTTTGGCTTAACACAAGTGTAATATTTTAACCACAAGCCCCTATTAAAATTTCAAGGTATTAATTATACCAGTGAGGTTGGGATTGGAAAATATTATCTGACAGAATTAAAAGGGAAAGGCACTCATTTTTCAGATATTTTATTTCCATGGAGGGGTAAAACTACATTACACTCTTTGCTTCCCTAATGCAGCTTAGAGATACTCAAGACAGTCATTGATCAAAATACAACTTTTGTTATAGAGTACGCTGGGATCTTAACGGTTTGTGACCATGAAGCTTTCCTGGGTTATAAGCAGGTCATATCTTCAGGGCAGAGATCATATCTCTGTGATTTCATAACCTTTGCCAACCTTTGCCATAATTAGGGACCCTGTGCTACAGGGAGTGTTCTCAGTGGTGCCACCACAGTAAATCCTTACATAATAAAGATAATACTTGTAAATTTTTTATTGCATTATTGTGGTTAAAATGCATTAAAAGGACACAGAAATTGAGAATTCAAAGCTGTTAGGTCAAATTCTCTTAACAGATTCTCTGGACATATTCCAGGTCTGCACTCTGGGGCTCATTCACTGGAGACGTGAGTCCTCCAGTGATCTTTTATCACTCTAATGAATAATTCAGTCCTTTGGGCTGACCAACAAACCAAGGCACCCATTTTCTGTCTAGTGAAAGGCTCAGGGAGGTTGCAGACTTTTGTGATGTTTTCTACTCTGTCTTGAGGAACTTTTTCCCTGAAGTGAAAGATTCCAAGAGTAGCCTCTGGATGTGCCTTTGTATTGTCACCACAAGCATTATTTTGTGGCATTCTATCATTGAATGTACTGTGGCAACAAATATAGTTCACTTTAGACCCTCTGCTGCAATCAGATCAGCACTAACTGGGTTGAACTGCATCAGGGCACGTTCCTCCAGAAGGTGCTTTTAATGCCCATTGTGAGATACAACTTGCTGCCTGGGGCGTGGCATTCATCTGACTCATGGAAATGTCTCCATCTGACATGCTTTGTAGTCATCCCAGAAACAAATATTCAGTTACAGGGAAACAATTCACACCTTCCAAAAATAGACAATTAGAAGTGTCTGTTCCTGTCCTGTGGCTATATAGGGACCATAGGTAGCAAGCTTTGGTGTAGACATCTGCACTGCAGTCCTCTTGAGTTCTTGAATCCTATCACACGTATCTTGATTTCAGTTATAGCATAAATACATGTTCACAGCTGTCTTTGCATTTCTCTGGCACCATCCAGGCATACAGGCAGTGCTTCTGTTGACCAATAAAAGTAATGAAATGGGCAGAACTACAGGCATCTTGAGTATGTGATGTTTCAGCTGACTGTCTCTTTGAAATGTATTAGAAAGGTAGTTCATGCACAAGCTAATTGTGGACAGCGTGTGGGATGTTTCACTTTCCAGATTGTATTTCTTAATTCTAGATGTTCATGTAGTCATTCAAATCATGAGATGGAAATGTTTCTTGATTCCAGCAGGATTTGTTTCAGTTCTTTGGGCATATGTCCCACAAAATAACCAAATACATTGTTTTTCCATCAGAACTGGTTTTCCTCACTTCTGTTTTTCATCTCATAGAGTGCCTATCGGGTCTTCACTAACAGTACCTGCTTGAAGCATATGATTCTGAAGATTCGTAGAGATGCTCGTAATTTTGAGCGATATCAGCACAATAGAGACCTGGTAAATTTTATCAACATGTTTGCTGATACCCGACTGGAGCTTCCTCGTGGCTGGGAGATAAAAACTGACCAGCAGGGCAAGGTAAGGGTGCCAACAAAACTAATCACTTGCTTAACACACCACATCAGGCTACATGATTAATAAAGTTTCCTTCCTTCTTGTCTTAAAATTGATGATGTTTTGGTTTAAACAACACAAGCAGAAAGCAGAGTTATTTTAGAAGCAGAAAAAAAACTTCAAGAACAAATGTTCCAAAGTATTTCTAGCTTTCCGCAGAATATCACAGCATAGCCAAGGCAGCATTGGACTGGCAAAAAAGTTTGAGACAGAGTAGATTTGTTGTGCCTGCAAAATTTGACTCAGTGTCTCTATGTCCAATGAAGTTTTGCTGGGTGACTTCTGGAACCACCAAATAGGCTAAAGCACCATTTCCCAATAATATTATTCTCTTCTGTCTTGTTTACACCATGGCCATTACACGTGATTTTGACCTACATAGCTTCAGGTATTTTCCAAGAGCTATTCCTGCTTTGAGTAAGACAGTCCTTTTGTTTGCAGATATCTTCCATGGACTGTACTTAACCAAGGTATTTCTGACACAATTGCCAGTGGTTGTCACGTTGTGTTCCCACGATACTATCACAGTGTTGCCCGTTTTCTTATAAAAAAACATTGTTCCTTGGTGTTTCAGTCTTTCTTCGTTGACCACAACAGCCGTGCTACCACCTTCATAGATCCCAGGATTCCGCTGCAGAACGGTCGTCTCCCTAATCACCTGACTCACAGGCAACATCTTCAGCGACTTCGTAGCTACAGCGCTGGAGAGGTAACCATGCCAGTATCAATCCAGGAACTTTTGACAGCAGTCTTCTGTAGAACTAAAAGCACTTCTTATATTTGGAAGGCATTGAAACAGACTGTCTTATGAATTTTTATCTTGTAAAGACAATAAGTGATTTTTTTTCTTCCTGAAGGGTTTATTTCAGAGCTTGTTGGTAACGAAGGTTTGTATTTTGATGGCTTTCAGACTAAAATAATAAGCAGTAAAATTTGATTGAAGTGAAATGATGACAAAATAGATTTTAAAAGAAGAATCCATATATGACATTCTGGTCTTGCTTTACTGAAGTCAAGTCGTTCATTATTTTTGTAGCCTGACACTTCAGCAGCCTCATATGTTTCTTCAGTCCCCACTGGGACACTGTACTCTGAAATTATATACTCCCTACCAGTAGTGTAGTAATGTATGTTGAGGTTTGCTTCCCTAGCTTCAGTCAAATTAAGCATCTTTCCTATGTTTCATGGGGATGACTTTTATCACTGAGGGCCATGGACATAATTGAAAGAAGTGTAAATACTGTGTTGGGTATTGTGAATTTAAGGAGGAAAAAGTACCAGCAACCAGATTCTTCATATAGCAAATACCTACAATTGAAGATTTGTAGAGATTGATGCTGAATAGGGGTAGAGATGAATTATGGTGAAAGGATCTTCCTCTTCCAGCAAAATACCCAGAGAAATGCTTGTGAAATTAATTTATTGCAGTAGGACCTGTCTGACACCTCTCACTGCCAGCTGGGGTTGGGATCAGGAGATGACTAGGGTGCAAGGTCAGTTCTTCAGGATCAAAGGCAGACCAGGCATGAGTAGTTTGGGCATGCTTTCTCCATCTTGAGTGAATATGGAAACATATTTTCTGAAGATAGAAGTGTATCAGTGGATCTGTTTCAATCATATCTTCCCACCAGTTTAGCAACTTCCCTCTGCCAACAACCTGCAGTTTAGTGTTGCTGTTGTGGTTGAATTACTGGCAGGACTGTGATAGCCACCTGCAGGATGGTTCATATTTGGGCACATGCTTGCCTGGGGCTTACTTACAAATTCACCATGTCGGGGATGGAAACACCACCGAGCAACTCAGATGACCTAGCCCAAAAAATACACTTGGTTCTGCAAGCACTGGCAAGGCTGGCAAGGAACAATTTTCAATAAACCCAAAATATCAAATACAGGGAAGGGAGTCAAAAGTACTTAGTACTTATGAGTAATGATTCTCTGGGGAAATTATAAACTATTCATTGAGGCCACTGATTTGGCACAATCAGCCAATGAAACAGGGTTTTCTGTCTCAGGAGCCGTCAGTGATGGCACTGTCACCTCACAGTCTCAGTGGCCCAGGTCCTACAGTGCTTCTGCACCCTTGCTGTAGTCAGTAGCTTCCCCTTTGGAAGTGTCTGCTGCTCCAATGGAAAGACTCCCATTGATATCCAAGGACTTTGGATTGATGCCTAAAAGCCCTTTAAAGGAAAAAATTCAACCCTTTACGATTCAGGCCATTTATTAAGAGCCTAATGTTACATGCCATTTCCTCCAAGTGTATTTGGATGTTCTTTTGTCCTATAAATCATGTCTGTAGAGTCACACTTGGGGTTTTGTCCTGGCCATGTGTCAGCTGTCTGCAGGCCTGCTGGTTTCTTTGCTGAGCAGATGGTGTGGCCCCTGGAATCTGTCACCAGGATGGTATGAAGGACCATGAAAGACAACTAACAGTTTTGAACATTATGTACAGATGTCAAATGAGCCTGAAGGAGAGCAGAATAATGAAACTTGTGGGTGCCAGAGAGGGTATAAAAAAGAGCCAGGGTAATGAAATAAAGGACCTCTGCAAAAACTTCTATGTAGATTACTGATATTAAATAGCATGATATATAAATTTGTCAAAAATGCTACAGATTCTTTAGTAAGCACTTCTTTAAGGTATAAATCTTTTACAGGAAAAAGGTGGTTGATGCTACTCTTGGTTGCCTGATTTTTGGAAGAAAAGTTCAGGTAGCTGTAGTGGCCATCAGTAACTAAAAGAAGATAGATCACTAAGTGATTCATTTCCTTCTACCACTGCTATAAACAGAACAGGTCAGAATTGCTTTCCATTCCCTCTAAGGGACTTTCCATCTGCAGTGAAAATCAACATACATGATTATAGGGTGGAGAATTTAAACACAGAAAGAAGAAAGAAGCAGGCATCCACAGTGGAGAGGCAAGAGTTGATGGTTAGCAAGATAAGCAGAGGAGGTGTTGGAATATAGCAGTATACAAATCTTACTGACCCAAACCACAGTGGGATTCAAACAGGCAAGGGCCTTTCAAATCCAGCAGTGATATAAAACCCAGGAAAGAGTATTATATCTTGAAAGGCTCCTGTGATAGTTTGGACTCTCCACTCTGGTTGCAACATCCCAGTATCAATTTCAAAGCTGTTAAACCCTGACATAAATCTATAAGATTACTTTGCACTAGATGAATCCAGTCACTAAATCATTAGAGGGGTCACTCTATTTTTTTTTAGTTGGAGAATAATGTGCTAATCGAAATTAAGTCATTCAATTAGAAAGTCAAAGTAGACAAGGCGATTGTGATCAAACACTGAGTTGGAGCAATCAATTGTACTCTATTAGCTGAAAGATTGGAAAGAAAAGTGTTAGCAAAATGAAAGTTAATTAGATGGCTTGGAATTTTTCTGTTGTGTTGCCAGAGAAAAATTGTTGAGAGGTGTAAATCTGTAAAGAGCAAACACAGCATTAACAATGCATAAGCGTGGTGATGAAGAAAAGCACCACAGAGTGTGCATTTTGTTATATTGAGATGTGTACAGAACTGGATTCTTACAACCTAGCTTTAGCTTCTTACAACCTGACTTTAACTGTTAAACCAGAACTGGGAAGAAGGGAAGAAGGGAGTGAAGGTTTCTTTTCAAGGGCACTAGACATGTTTCCTTTCAGAATTCTTGCTTTAGGAGAAATATGTCCAGGCACTGGAAAGTTAGCCAAAAGAAAAAAAGTATATGTATATCAGGTGACATGAGCAAAGGGAGGAACTAGGCCCAGGCTGGGCAGAAATACCATACAGTTCCCAGCTGATGAGCAAATACCAACTGGTGCTAATTTTTATGGCAGATGTGTTTAATTCCTCTGTTACTCGTCCCTTTCCCCCTTTCTATCTTCTGATCAGTAAATCCATGTGTAGCAACAAGGGTATAGGATTTGTCTTTGTAAAGGATGAGTCAGAGATCACCCTTAAAAACAGGCTGTACACCCATGCAAATCTGTTCTACAAGGACCTGAGGAAGGGGCATCCTCACCTGATCTCCAGAGCTCCCTGGTAGTGAAGAAGCTGAGCACAACACAGTGCCTTAGTACCATCCCACACACCCTCACTAGTGCAACTGATCACAGGTCATCAGTGTGTAATTCTGACTGTGCTGCCTACAGACAGCCCAGGAAAAGGCTGCTCCCGGAAGGGCTTCATGCCCACTGTGGCAATGAATCATAGGGCACCTCTTGAACCTAAGCTTCCTCTTTCTTCCACAGCACAGAGTGAGTGCCATAATGACCACACAGCGCTTGTGAGGGGGGAGGGTCACAGGGCGAAAGCTGCCTAAGCCTGAGCTAAACTTGCAGTGTCAGTTGGTCCATGGGGCTGTGAGAGGGACACGAGGGCAGAAGATGGGTGCAGGTGAAATCATAACCGAATGATGGAGCAAAGCATTCGCCGTGCACTTTCACAGCAGTTTTGTGTTTTAAATTGCAGTATGTTTAATTAGAATTGTTAAGATTTTTCATTGTTTAACCTGTGTATTGATGCGGATCAAGTGCATTGATTGGTATCTTGTTACATAGAAGCATTTTATGCTTTGTGGGCTCCAAAAGGCAACTTGCCAAGTCACATTTAGCTTCTCAGTTTTCATTTATATTCAGCTGGAAGACCTGGCATTTGGCCGTACCACTGAAAACGGGTTGGCACTGTTTGCTTGGATGCAGAACTAAGCATTTAAAATATTGGAGTCAGGGCAATTTCTTCCTGAAGCGGTTGCCAAGTACTACAATTTGTGCAGTGAGAAAGGAGCAGCTATTTGCCCAGTAGAGTGGCAATTGGAATTCCTAATGCATCTTGTCCTGATACAGGCTGTACTTACACTGCAGTGACAGGAAAAGGGGGGATGTCTTTAAACTGAAAGAGGTTAGGTTTAGAGCAAATGTTAAGAAAAAATTCTTTACTATAAGGGTGGTGAGACACTGAAACAGATTGCCCAGAGAAGTTGTGGATGTGCCATCCCTGGAAGTGCTTAAGACCAGGTTGGAGGGAGCCTGAGCAATCTGGTCTAGAGAAAGTTGTCCCTGCCCGTGACAGAGGGGTTGGAACTAGATAATCTTTAAGGTCCCTTCCAACCCAAACCGTTCTATCATTCTTCTCTTGGGTTCACCATGGTCATATTCTGGAGGAAGATTAGAGGCAGGTGGGTTCTCCTCAGTTTGCACAAGTCCCCAGAGAGTTACCCAGCAGTGCCTTACTGAAGATTGCCAGACCTCACTGTTTGGCTTTTAATATCCTCACGTAATATCCTCAAAACTTTTTTACCTGTCTTTCAGTGTATCTGCCTTCCTACTTCCCTTCACTAGATAGAATGTTTAGAACAGTGGCTTTCTTTAGGTACCTCAATTAAGGGGCAGTGATAAATTTCCTTCTTCCTATTCCTTTTATCAGCTCTTTAGATTATATTCTTTTTTTCAGTGTATACAATTCAAATTCTATTTCTGGTTGTGCATGTTAAGCAACCTGCTTTTGGGATGATGCAGCCTTTTTCTGTCCTGTAAACTGCGTAGATATACCTTCCTCATATTATTTCCAGTATTAAATTTCCCTTCAACAATGCTGAATGAACATGTTGCAGTGTTATTGTTTTTTTCTCTTTTCAAATTAACATGGCTGTAAAAACCTTGAAGTAAATGCAATTATGCTAGAACAAGAGACTGTATAATATTACAAAGATTTTATTTTCATTGAACCAGAGAACTCCATCACTGCAATACCTTCATTGGCTTGCATTTACTTCTGGATTCTGGTGCCTTCACTGCAGCATCAAAGAGGTGCAATATGTGTGGATAATGGTGCATCTCCATCTGGAAGCACAGGATTACTTAGCTTTTTTAATTTGACTACAGTATAAAGCTATAATTTTCATGCATGCTTTCTGTCATTTAGTCAGCATCGTGGACCATTCTGAAGGTCACAGAAGATAAGAAACCTTTTAACTGACCGATGTGCTAGCGCTGGTCAATTTTGATCATTCTTTTCCTTTCCTCTGGTGTTGTAGGCCTCTGAAGTCTCTCGAAACAGAGGAGTCACCCTGTTGGCCAGACCAGGCAATAGTCTTGTAACAGCTATTCGAAACCAGCACCATCATGAGGCATTACCTCTGGGTAAGCCAATTTTCTCTTTTCTTCTCAAAGCAGTGCTCACAAAAGTGCTTTTTACAACTTCTCATCAACCACACATACTGCTTCATGTTTGCCCTATGCCTCACTGGCAGCGAGGTCAGTGTGCCCCTGCAGAATAATGGTGATGTGACCGGGCTCCCTCAAAGGTAAATAAAGCCTCAGGTTTGTTTTTTTCCTTTTCCAGCTTACAATGACAAGATTGTTGCATTTTTACGCCAACCCAACATTTTTGAGATGCTTCAGGAGCGTCAGCCCAGCTTGGCCAGAAACCATGCACTCAGGTACCACTTTTTTTCCAGACTGCTGAAACCAAGTTCCAGGAAAGATTTCTTGTAGTGGGGAAAACCAAATTCTAGTAACTGTGGTATAAAAGATGAACTTGGGCTCCGTATGGAACTGTCACCATTAAAGAGTAGGTGTGGACCACCAGGATCCATGTAGTTACTGTAGTTATTTTCCATAGACATTCAAGAAGTAAGAAGACCCAAAATAACTGTAGGCAAATAGTGGCATATCTAGTCTCTATTCTAAGTATTACTGAATGGCAGAAACTCTGTCCTCACCTACAGTTATCACTTTGCTTTTCAGAAGATAGAATTATAATTATATTTGGATGGAAGTCAGCAGCAAAACTCCAGTAACTCCAGCAGAACCAGAGATTTTACTTCGTGGTTGGATTTAAACCCATATCATGGACATAGTCACCCTAGATTTTATAAATAAAAAGGAGCATTATTATGAAGTGTATTGTACTCCTGTCTAATCTTTTTCACTTGACTTAGTGGTAGTCCTTTCCAAAGTAGTTAAATTGTATCTTTCTTTTTTTATACCTGTTCCTTTCATATTAGATTTTTTCAAAAATGAAAAAAGCAGAACCAATTGCCAGTACAATTTAAACTCATTCGAATTCCAAAGTTTGAATTAATTGTTTTGGCCAAGAACTTAAGCTGGTGTTAATCAGTCTCAGCAATGCCAGTATGCACCAGCTAAGAGTTTGACCAAGATTTTAGTTTGTACTGTGCGGTAAGAAGCACAGCTGCAGGATTGCTGAAGAAGGGAAGGAGTACCTTCAAGTTCCTGCAGTGCAGAAAGTTCTGCTGGTAGCCTTACTGACACGTTGTTTACCTGTGAGGGCCAAAGAGTTCTTTGGGTGTAAGGATTAGACTTCCTTCCTGGAGGAATTGATACGTTCAAATAAAATGAGAGAGACAGAATGAAAAATGCACTCAGTATTTAGGATGTACATTTCTGTAACTAACAATTTTTTTTTCTCAGCTGTAGTTTGAATTCTCATTTCCCAGAGAAGAGATGATGCTTTTATCTCTTTCTGAGCAGAGAAAAAAATTGACTAGTGATAAGGACTAGACAGCTTAGCCAGTGTGTAATGAGATTTGTAACAGGATATTGAGCCCTTTGCCTCCAGGTCATTGCCTATGATTATACTTTGGGTCAGGAGTGATCCCAATCTATTGTCTAATGCTCATACAGCAGGTATTTACCAAACTCCTAGGAGGCAAATGCCCATCTTTTACAGAGCTTGATTCTGCCACACATTGCAGCCCCACTCAGCAAGGTACTGAAGCACATCCTTGTCTTGAGGTAGAATATTTTGACTTGATACTAGAATAAATATATTTGGACACTGCAATGCTTTAGAAACACACTGACAGGCTGGGGTGTAGATATGTATCTTCCATAATCCTAATCTTTTGATAGAGTCCTATCCTATGTTTCCCGCTCGTTATTAGCAAAATGTATAATTTTACACATGTAACATATGTTTACACTGTATAATCTCTGTGTGATCAATTCATATCAAGTATATGTTAGAGAGTTATTTGCCAGATAAAACTGATGGAGGGAAAGGAAGTGGTATTATTGGAAATTCTGTTAACAAAAGTTAGTTGTAGACTTAAACAGAAAGTCTGCTGTCGGTGACCTGATTTTTACACATGAACTCGGAGGACTAAGCATCATTCTGTTTTCTAAAATACAGAACAAAATCTCTTGCTTTTGGATCAGTGAACTGAGTGACAGGAGCAGATTTTTTTTTTTTTTTTGCAATTTTATGTTAGTAAGATTAGAAAATGAATCAGGCATATAAGATGTTTGCCATTTTTGTAAGGAGATAAACAGGAATTGGCAAAATACCAAGGAATAAAAACTCTCTGCATAGTTCATGCCATGATAATGGCATGGGGTTTTTCTGTTTCTTATTTTCTTTCTTCTCGATAATATCACTTATGTTTACAGGGAGAAGATCCATTACATTCGGACAGAGGGTACACATGGGCTTGAAAAATTGTCCTGTGATGCAGATTTAGTAATTCTGCTGAGGTAATCAATTTGATCAATAGCATGATGTCATTACTTACAGTACCACAGAGGCTATTTGGCTCTTTCTCAGCATAATTGAAAAGATTTTGTTAAATCAGGTCATGCTGACAGCCATCCAGAATAATTCAGCCATAGTATATCTGCCAATTTGTACTTCCTGGAAGGAAGCATCCATCAGTACAGTAAACTCCATCCCAGTCAGCTCAGTCAGTATAGCTGTTACCGTGAGGTAGCAGATAAAAAAGAATCAGGTCAAAATGTTTCCTTTTAATGGAAAAAAAATCTTGTTTCTTTTTTTAAAAAGAAAAAGAAAAGGGAAAAAACCCCTTGTCTTTCTCAGTACAATAATGTAGCTGCTCGTGAAATTGCTAGTTTTACTGCAACAGTGCTGCCCACACATGCATGAAACCTCAATGCAGTGAGCATTGTCTGGGTAATGTAGATAAGGCTTCAGTTTTTATTGGAACCAGAGAGCTTGGTCTTTAGGTCCTAGCTACTTTTCCTCAGCACAGATAAGGACTTATTTCATTGTTTTGGTCTTACATGGAGAATGTTGCATAACCCAGGTGGTTGTGGTATGCTGTAATAGCACTGCTTAATACTAGAAGTTTACAGCTTATTCCCATCAATTTAATTTGAACGGTCGAAGCACTGAGCTGTATGAAGGCGTACGACCCAAGAAAAACAGCCTGGGAGACAGATGTGTGTATCTTTACTTCTCACTGCTAACGTGTTGGAGGTGCTCCTGTTTAGAACATAGCCTCACATCTTTGCTCTCTGTCAGTAGGCTGAGCCACTGTTAGCATAAAACATCTAATAACATTCATTTTGTTCTTCGTTACTGGTGACTGGGACATATTTGGGAAACCTGTGGATTTTTTGAATCCATGAGTTCAGAGATGCACCCAAACTTATGACATAGTGGACTTGCACCATTATGCATATTTACATACCTTCATGTGATGAATGTGAACCAAATCTCTCCCTATGATTTTCTCCATGCAGCCTTTTTGAAGAGGATATTATGTCCTACATACCACTGCAGGCTGCCTTCCATCCTGGTTATAGTTTCTCTCCTCGCTGCTCACCCTGTTCATCACCCCAAAATTCCCCAGGTAAGGAGGTTGGGAAATAAAGACAAAATCTTGCATTTTTGGTATTTCTCCTAGTAAATAATAAAGGGCAAATTTAGAGCCAGTATCAGCTGCCAGCTTGCTAATTCCAGGGACCATTCCAAATATGACCCAGCTGCTTTTTTGTTGGATCAGTTACCAGTGCTCCTATATATCTGCTGAAATGTTAGTTGTAAATGAAACACAGGGATCAGAAGTTGTCCAAATGAAAGAAGGTATTTTCCTGCTTTTGATGTAGTTGGAAAGGATTAGGATAAGAGAACGATGTACTCCAAGCATAACTCATTGACATGGAAGCACATTCATATTATGTGACAGGAGCAAAGTGCGTCTTCCGAATTAAAGGTGTTTTGCAATACTTCAGTACCCCTGTAAAGTTCAGTCTCCTCTGCTCAGTGTTATGAAAACTTCTCTTTTCCCCAAGGTGCGCCTGTTTTAGGAGCTGGTGGGATCATCTTCATCATCTAGTCTGACCTCCCGTGTTGAGCCCATTAACTTAGGTTTGACAGGAAACATATTTTCCGGAAAGACATGCTGTCTGAGAAGGTTATTTCCAGCTGTGCTATGTCTCTGTAGTTATTGTTGTTTATGCTATAGAAATTTGAGGAGCTAATGTCTCCCTTTTGCCAAGATATACAGCCCCCACCACGGTCTCACCGCATGGCTGTGTCCAGTGGCCATTTTGAGAGAATCGACAGAAATGTGGTCTGAAGAAATCCATTTTTGACTGAGCTTGTTTGAACATTCATTTAAATTATCTGATTTCAAACGAAATTAATGGACAAGAGAAATTCAAATCTTGGATGTGGCTGTGGAAAATTAAAAGATTTTTTGATGGGAAGAAGTTAAATGCTGACTCTCTGTCTATAGGAGGACAGTGTTCTGTCAGAATGTCTTGTTCATAAGATGAGTTTTACCACCATTGTTAATACAGTTCCCCTTCTCCACATCAGGACAGATCATAAACAAGTTTCCTACAGGACAAAAATGTTAAGTATTTGGCACAAATGTGGCTTAGGAAACTGTTAAAAGATCTGCTCTGATCTCTACCTGCTCTTGAGAAAACACTCATTCCTGGCAACATACTGTCTGCTTGCTTATTTTTGTCACTGGTTTTAGAGCCCAGGAGAACACCCATTCTCTTATGTCCAGGTGGAAGGGGTGTGTGGGAAATTCCAGCAGAAAAAAGAGGTTTCACAAGGGATTCTCTTTACACTGTGTGTAAATATACCTTTCTGTTTTACTAGCAGAGACAATTAGTAATGTCCTTCCATCCTGGCAACCACGATACATTGGGCTCCCACTAAGAGTGATGATTTTTTTAACTTCCTGTGGAGCATTTGCTGCCAGATTTCTCATCAAAGGTCTTGTTCTTATTGTCTTCTGCAGTGAGATAGAGAAATGGGATTTCATGGATCCATTCTTTCACCCTTTATGGCATGGCACTTGTTTATGCAAAAGGAATAGTCAGATACTTTGAGAATGCAGCCTTCAATACAAAGCAGGTCCCAAACTGCTAAAAAATCTGTTGTATGTGTGAATCATAATAGGGAAATTTAGTATTTCTTACTGACAGATATTTTTCTTGATTCCACAAAGGGGTTTGGTGTTGATAGCTGGAAATGTTTAATATACAGTCAGATTAACACAGGGGAAACCCGATTCCCAGCTTGTCTAGGGTGCTAGGCTCCAGTGAGAAACATTGCTCTGAGTTCCAGAGGTTTAATCCTGCCGAGTAAGGAGATCACCTATACAGTGCAGAGGAGAGAGATCTCTTAAAAGTGAAAAAGGGAAAGACAACCTAAATGCCACTGACCATGAGTGGCAGTAAGGCATATCAGTCTTTCTCATGCCTTTCTGATCCTTGAATTTCCATTGAGATCAATCACAGTTAAAGGCTGAGGCAACACAAGGCACACACAAGGTGAGCTTAACAGTTCTTTTAGTGAAGAAGGTGCAGCCCCTGGAAGTCATTGCAATCACTGAATTATAGTAATTTACAACTCCATTGATGCCAAAACAAAAATAATCCTGAGTACACTGTATACCTTTAAAAAGTTCCTATCAAATTTATTAGCCTGTTCTGTCTGGAAACATAAGCTGCATGATTTGGAAAACTGTAAAGCCCCTTACACCTTACGATGCTGTTCATTTTCCCTCCAGGGCTGCAGAGAGCAAGTGCAAGAGCACCTTCTCCATACAGGAGGGACTTTGAAGCCAAGCTGCGCAATTTCTATCGAAAACTTGAAGCCAAAGGGTATGGGCAAGGTCCAGGTAAAATTAAGTGAGTATTACAACAAATCACTTAAATAGTCTAACACAGTATAGCTTTGTTCTTTGTCATTATTTGTTAAGACAGTGATAGGGAATGGAAAAGACACTGGAGATTGTATTTTGTACATGAACCACCAGGGCAGGATAAGATCTGCAAAAAAGTGACCTTCAAGAGGCTTTTATGTGGAGGTTATTTCTTATAGATTCAAATTCTCTCACACTCCTGTTTCCTACCTATTTAACAGGGATGTCAAATACCTATGATTTGCTAGTGGGAGAATCATCTGTTTAGGCAAACATCCACCACATATTAGCAACAGCTACGTAATTGTAATGATGGAATGACTCTAAATTCTTTGCATCTACATACCAGTATAACTCAGGACCAGAATATGACCCTGCAAAACTTAGTCTGTACATGCAGGTTTAACTTCCCATCGTTCTTTGTGTCAGTAGCCCTCCTGGATTTGAACTAGAGAGATTTCTGCCACTCTTCTTGTATTTTGGGGATCTCTGTGATTTGGTTGTGGAGTTTGTTTTCCAGACATCTTGTTAGTTGGCTTTTGAGTCTGTACTTACTTGTGCTCAGTCTAGTTATCCAACTTCAGCAAAGGACTGTGTGTTTCTAAGGTATTTCCTGGGCATCTGGTTGAATTTGTGCGTCAGGTTGGCTTCCTACCAAATGACATCTGTTGTGGGGAAAAAAATGTGTGAAGCCAAGAAATTTATTCAGGCAAACATCATCATCAAAATAATTTTACGGAGTTCAGGAGTCCTAGCTGGTGGTTGTCATCTTTGGTGTCCTCCTAAGTGGGTCCAAGGCAGACATGAATTATATTTTAGAAGGTCTGCCTTAAAATGTCCATGAACATATGAACAAGAAGGATTTCTTGCACAGGTGGTGTTTAAAAGTACAATTCATTAAGTTGTTTTAGAGCTTGGTAGGAGAGTGAGAGATGTGTTGTATAAACAGAGGCTGATACTCCCTTTGCTTCCCCTGCTACAGAAGCAGTATTTCCATGGACATTAGCTGGATTAAATCCGGAAAGTGTTTGGGGCCAATTCCAGATAGCTGTGACCTCATATACACAGGAAACTCACAGCCCTCTCTACCATATTTTGTACAGGGAGGTTGTTGCAGAGAGTCTTAGCAACGCTCTGAACCTAATCATGGCATTGTGAAGAAATTCACCTTTGAGGCACATAGAAAAGCCTAATGAAACAACCCACTGAAAACCCATAATGGTCAAGTAGCACATGCACCAGCAGATGCAATTTTATTGCATTCTCTGAGAACAAATGTCTCTCTTTAGCAGCTCTTGTTTACCTTCAGCCTCACAAGTTCACACAAGACTCAGTCATTAGATCTTTATTTCTGCCTCCCTTTGCAGGTTAATTATACGGCGTGACCACTTGCTGGAAGGCACCTTCAACCAGGTAATGGCATACTCACGCAAGGAGCTCCAGCGGAACAAACTCTACGTCACGTTTGTTGGCGAGGAAGGGTAGGGAACCACAAAATGCTCTCAGTTTTGAAGTAGCTGTTATGTTGCAAAACACTGAGTTGACTGAGGCTGAGCTTCTCTTGTTATGTAATGTTTCTTTGGTTTTGTTTTGCCTCTGAGTGATTCGTCTTAACTCAAACATTTGTTAAAAATAACAATAACAATAATGCTTTGTTTTCCTATAACACCTTCCATCTAGATGTCTAAAAGTGACAATTTAAGTGGTTAAATCTAATGTCATCTATTGCCATAGGTATTTTGACTGGCTGGAAGGCAAAACGCAACTACAGGCCAATGTTTACACACTGAATCAGTCTCAGGACTATAATTAGAGACCAGACCTTTATCCACTTTGTTACTCTAAGCCTTCACAATGGATCTGGTTTTGCTTCAAAAATTTTTGCTTTGCATGCCATCTAATGATCATTTGTTATCCATGTGCATTTCTTGTTTCTGGCTGAAGTAAGAAACATGAATGCCATTTAGTTGTTAAGTTTAATTCACCCAGTTGGAAGGTGGAAGGAAGGAAGTCTCTTGAGAAGGCCTTTTCTCAGGAAACTTTCTACCAGTCTTACAAATCCATGAGCCATTCCTGTATGATTAAAGCCAGTTTTTGTTTTAAAATGTGAGCAGAACCTTTCAAAGCCACACTGGCTCGCCTTAAGAGCTACATTGTATTTGAGGCTTAATTGATACACTTTTATAATGGAAAGACCATTGTGCATGTTTCCAGTGTTCCATATAACAAAGGCATGAAATTGTATTTCAGTAGCTTTGCATGTAAAGTTTCTTTTTTTTTTCCAAAACCACGTGGATAGGATTTCAGTTCCAAAGGCACCAGAACAGTAAGGATCTCAGGCAGCTCTTGGGATGTCCAGCAATTGCTGACACTACCAGCTCTGAGGTGGCATGTCAAATGAAGGGCTTCTGGCAAGCTGAGCTTGTCTGGGGATGTGTTAGGTCCGGTGGAAAACAGAAGTCACCAATCTCAAAGAGAGTCACTCAGTGACCTCAGTATCAGGGGATTTTTTCATTCTTACTTTTTATGCTCCATGGATTCAGTATTGTTTAACAGAGCTCGTCTTCCACAGCTGTTTTTGCCTCTGGCTTGCAAGTAAAGCATAAACACGTAGCACACCTGAGTGTGTGTTTTTGAAATAGTGTTCTACTATGCTAACACTGGCCAAAGTCATGTTTACCCCACATCTCTAATAACTTTTACTGTGTGTGGCATGGTGTCCTCAGGAGAAATTAAAAACCCATTTGATTTGCAAATTCAATCATTCTTCACTGTTTCATTTATATCTGAAGATACATTCCTCCAGGGTTTCTGCTGCTTAGTGCTAATATACATTCTGCTGGAGGGACTCCAAGATACCAATTCCCTACTGAAAAGAGGAGTTGATGCTGTATGGCCATGTGATGCTGTATGGCCACAGCTTCCCATGTGTTTCAAAGCTAAAAGGACATTGAAAATGAAGGCTTTATGATGAGTTAATGTGTTGCCCAGAAATGCAATACCTGGTCTCCCCTTGAAGATTTTTTAATATAGACAGGTGTTGCTTGTACTTTTTTGCTCCAAACATCATAAGGCTTTGCCCAGTATTTTGATGTCCACTGAACCAGATCTGTTCCATGGTTGGCACTAGTGGGTCATGTGGGCTTATTACCATCCTTTTTTGCTATTATGGCTTTAGTCTCACCACATGATACTGGAGCTAAAGCTCCTCAAAAAGAGAAGTACTGAATCTCCAGATGTAAAACAGAGGAGGATGGGCCTGCCTGCCCTTTATCATCTTTCTGGTTGCACAAGTCAGTCATTCAACCCCTTGCACCTAGGTTTCTGTAACTTCAAACATAGTACAGAGCATTCTGATCCAGCTGCATAGCTTTCCACTTACTTTACATTTGTTAAGTAGAAGCAGTAGTGTCCACCTCAGAAAATCTTTCAGCACATGACATGTGGCTACAAATCATTTCTTCATATTGCTACTTGTACGTTTATTTTAGACTGAAAAACCTACATACCAGTATTAGAGAATGACCTGTTTTTAATAAATACATCACAGATGGGTTTAATGCACTATGCATTCATGAAACTTTGTCTTGTTTTGCTTTTTTTTTTTCCCAAGTTCACGTAATTGGAAACAGCTTGATCTAAAAGTGGAGTTTAAAAAATAAAAGGAAAAAAGGTGACTCTCTGCAGAGCAAATTCATGCAACAGCAAAGCACAGCTGAAGGTGTACCACATGAAAATATCAGAAAAGAAGAGCTTGGACAGAACAACTCAGGAATCATCATTTTATCTTGAGACGCAGTTCTGTGGGGACTTGGTCTTGCTCAGCATACACGTATATCTATAGCTAAGAAAGCATCCTTGGGGCTAGATTTCGCTACATCTGCACGTGGGAGAGTAAGAGCAATTTCTACTTCAGTCCAGGCTGTTTGCTCTGTGAACCCAAGTGTTCATAGGCAGTTCAAACGCTCTCACAAAAAATCTAGTCCCCTGCTAGCCACACAGCTGAGGCAAGGCTGAGCTTTGTACCTTCAATTTGTTAAGCCTTTGGAACAAAGGAAAACAAACTAAATAAGGGATGTGTCCCAGTTATGATTCCTCCCAAGTCAACCTGGATATTGGTGAAATTTCAGCATCACGACTTGTTCAGGACGCAGGATCAAGCTTTAAGAGGAGAGATACACCATGTTAGAAACACTTGACTGTACAGGCTGCTGTGCTAAGACAGCAACCAGTGTAGGCAAACCCAGGAAATTCACTGAAATGGTAAGGAGCCTCATTTTATCTTTTCTATCTTTTCCTTTCCAGGCTGGACTACAGTGGCCCCTCCCGAGAATTCTTCTTCCTTCTGTCTCAGGAGCTCTTCAATCCTTATTATGGGCTGTTTGAGTATTCAGCCAATGACACTTACACTGTACAGATCAGCCCCATGTCTGCCTTTGTTGAAAATCACCTGGAATGGTAAGAACGTTTTATTCAGACTTGAACAATCATTTTAGAGCATTAAAAAAGTGGAAAAGCAAAACAAAAGCTGCTGGTTTGGACTAGACTACCTGTAAATATTGCTTCTATTGGGAAGAAGTGGAAAGTAGTTTGTGAAGAGGAAGAGAGGGAGTAAGTGTAAATACAAGAGCAAGCTCTGAAAAAGGAGTTGTAATGAGGTACTGCTATTAAAATGTCCTGCTCACATCACTTGGGATTTAATGTTTGTGTACTTCTGTGTGAATGTGAAAAGGACAGGAAAAAGAGCTCTGCTTAATGCAGACCTCATGTCCTTGGTCCCTTTCTAAGAATAGTAAGTATGGTCTTTCTGTACATCAAGAAGCATTGTGCTTGGAAGCTATATATTGTTCTCTGTACCTACCACAGGCCTTAAAAAAAGGTCCAGTGAAAGCAGCTTACCTTTTCTTCCCTGACAGACTGTCCCTGTTTGTATGGGGCAAGGCCAGCAGAGTGAGCAGGTACTTTGCCTCACCAAGTATATGTGCAAACAGACAAATTGCTGATCTTGTTTCTTTATCAAAAATTCTGAAAGCATATTTTGTTCTCCTCATTTCTATCTGCCTCCAGATCTGTCTATCTTTGGGAGTTGTTTTCACTTTGATAGTTTCAGATGTGGTTCAGCAAAGCATGGGCTGCAAGCCCTGGGCATCGTTTGATCCCTTGTGGGATTTCATTGTGTCAAAGAAGCGCTGCCACGTGGGTTTGTTCCTATGATGTTTTTCTTTGTCAACCTCACTGACTTCTTTCGGAGCTCCTTTTTTAAAATGGAAGGCAGTTCAGGCCCTTTTTAAATTGCAAATAGTACATGTCCCTCTATTCTTGTAAACAGATCCTCCTATGCTTGGCTTGCAGTGGGCAGGAGATAAAGAATAGTTCTACTGTCATGTCTTCTAAGGTTGAAGGAGAAAAAAGAATGTTTCTTAGGACTAGCATGGTCTCTGAATTGTTGGGATTTTTTTGGTATTATCAGTTCCAGCAGTGGAGCATTATGCTAACAATGATCCTTGCATTAGAGTGTTTCTCTACTGACATGAGCAGGAAGAGAGCTGCTTAGTTCTTACAGCTTGTCCACCTCCCACTACAATCCTGTTCATTAGACATGTGGTGCCTTCCCAGTTTTCAAGAAGAAATATGTTCTGACCTTTGTTCATCTTACCAGACTGCATGGGTAAACTTTTGATTTAGGAGACCGTTATCTGTGGAGATGTATTTTGATTTCTGGGCAGAGGACCACTTAGGCTGGCACAAACCTAAGATCATTCTGCCCACATTGTGAGCAAACTGAATGCAGGCCTCTGTCTCCGGAAATGGTGTTGCCATGTTATCTCAGCAGTAGTTGAACTCTTATGTGTTATAAACACTGTCATTGCAAAGAGTTCAGCTGCAATTTTCTTAAGTGATAAATTCTGCTGCAAAAAATATATAGTTTGTTTGATCCCTTCATTTTGTCCTGTGCATTGAGAGGTTTCAGCATGAAAGGGGCAAATTTTTAAACGTATCCTGGGCTTATAGAACAGCAGAAAGACACCTAATATGATTTTCTCTGGCAGTTAGCATTTAACTCAGAAATCAGCAACAGTTAGGCACTTGGGATATTTCTCCGTCTACACATATCGGCTTCTTGCATACAAATGTTGTTTGGCCTTTGGGCATTTTTGGTTTTCTTTTTTTAAGAAAGATAAGTCTTTTGTCCTGCAGAAAGAAATAAATGCTATGAATGAAGAGATTTGCACATAAAGTATTGTAAATAGGGCAAGATTGCAGAACCCAAGGGAAAGATAAGCAATCCAGTGAGTACTTGGAAATATTTCTTGAACCTGTTATGGAAATAATTGGCTGAGACCAGCATTTTATAATTAGCCCAATAGGTTTCATGATTGAGTTATAGATATCTAGACATTCTAAATGTTGTTATGCTTATCTATGTGACTGATCTCAGTTGTTCATGTATAACCCTGCAGTACTGTATTCAGAAGTCTGTGCAGCCAGCTAAGATAGGATTTGGACCAAGCTTTTTAAAACTCAGAGTAAGACTCTCCCATAAAGGCTTTGTAGGCTAACTTCTCCAATGGCACTGTACTAAGGTCTTGACATTGTTTATTCACGAGGAATGGGGTTTTATGATTTTCTCAGTCTTTCTCCAACTTCATTCTCATCAAAATCAGTGCTAAAACTTCTGTTTCTCAGATTTACTTGTTGATATGATTCCAGCAGAGCCTCCTCGCTCTGACATACAAAAAATAAAGATTATCTTCCAGTTCTCAAATCTGTTATGAAGCGCCAGTTAACACAGATGAAACAGCTCGAGAGTTCCAGGGTCACAGAAAATTAATATTCATAGTCTTTTCAAAGCTTGAAGTCTGATGTCAGTCATGAAAACCACACAATCGCAATTGGTTTAGATTTGCAGATTTCTTCAACTGTATGCTTTTTGGTGCTTGGGGGCTTATCATTTGTGTGAAATCTACCCTTGGCATGTATTTCTGCAAGAATGGCTATATTAAGAAGCAGGACTAGCAAAAAAATTCCCTCAAAATTATTTTACATTTTCTCTTTCTTAAGAGAACAGTGGTGAGTGTGAGATAAATACAACAAAATGCAAAGATGTGAAGTTTTGTTCATATTGGCAGAACTGAGAAATACACTGCTCTTTTTCCCCCAGCCTAAAAGTTACTGTTCTGCCCCTTTTAATGGCTTATTTCATGCTTTGCCCTTTGTACAAACAGCATTCTGAGTCCAAAATGAGCACATCAAAGCACAGAGTAGTTGTATGTATGCCAAGTTATGAAAGAGACATAATGACTGGAAAATATTTCTCATTTATGGAGAAACTGAGATTTAACACCTTTCCTGCAAGCTTCCATTGAATAAGACTTTTTCCTTCAGTTAACATATGTGCATGCTGAACACACAAAATATAAGATATCGCACACTTTTAAAGTTAAAAAAATATTTTAAATCCCCATTTATCTGAAAGGACACTGTTATAACTCTCTAGACCAAATAAGTTTGGTGATACACGTTTTTATCTGCATGGTACAGGATGTACCTGAAGCTCGTAGCCAGAAGAGCTGCTTTTAATCCATGCCAGTAATGAGCCATTCTGTCTGATCTGGGTACTCTATCTAGCTTTTTACCTGATATTTGAAAAAATCTTCTAAAATACACCCCCACTTAAGGTAGTTTGCTCTTCTTCAAGGAAGTGTGCAAAATATTGTGCCAACTACTATCTATTATTTCAGTGAAAAGAGTACAGTTTTGCCCAAAAATAACATTCGTGTCTTTGCACTTGGTCAGGTGTTTTGAACAATTGAAATAGGGTGAGCCACTGAAGAATCCTTCTCAAGTTTTGCTCAATTTGCTGGGAGATGGAGTGGTGGGGAATATTAAATGTTTCTGTCACAACCTCATGCGGCTGAGGTCACTTGGTCTGTTCAGCCTGGAGAAGAGGAGACTGAGGGGGGACCTCATTGCAGTCTACAACTTCCTCACAAGGTGAAGCTGAGGGGCAGGCACCGATCTCTTCTCTCTCTTCTTCTGGTGACCAGAATCCAAGAGAATGTCATGAAGCTGTGTCGGGAGAGGTTTAGGTTGGATATTAGGAAAAGGCCCTTCACCCAGAGAGTGGTTAGGTACTGGAACAGGCTCTGCAGGGAACTGGTCACAGCACCAAACCTGGCAGAGTTCAAGAAGCATTAGGACAATGCTCTCGAGCACGTGGTGTGACTCTTGGGGATGGTCCTGTGCAGGGCCAGGAGTTGGAGTCGATGACCCTTGTGGGTCCCTTCCAACTCAGCATATTCTGTGATTCTATGAAAGTTGGAGCTGTGATATTCAGTACAGTTCCATAATGCTGAATTCCTACATACTAATAAATGACTCCCAATCACTTGCCAAACTGGCTTCTCACTTTCCTCCCTGTTAATAGTTCTTTGAAAGACTGCAGATGGACTTTGAGTTCCTGAAGCATTGAAGCCCTGGGGTCCAGGATGACTGGTATTAGCAGATATACAAAGATACTTTTTCACTGAAGTGAAAAAGGTTTCTGTCTCTGATTTGAATTACTAATGTTTGATTGAATACTGTAGCTCTCTTTTTCACCAAAAGTCAGTAAATAATAAAAGATTGGTTGGGTAGATCAACTCTGAGGAAATATGTTTCTAAATTCTGGGACTAAAATGCCTAGTTCCAGAGTTTGCATAGTCTCAGATTTTCATATGGCTTACTGGGTACTCTCCCTGCCTTCATGGTGCATTTTCAAGAGGTCTAGAAAGTGGCTGGCATCTTTTCCTTGCATCTCATTCATTCCATATTGTAATAAAATTACTTACCTAATCATTCTGTGATACGCTGTGGTTTTCCTCAGGTCTATATTTTGTCTATCATTTTCCATATTATTTTGCTACTCAGCTCCAGCTAAGCAAGGTGGTAAACTGAACGTTTGTTTCTGTGATAATTTCTGTATCATCTTCACCAAACCTGAAGAGTATTATTTTTGTGCTGTTTCATTGTTCACATGGCTGCCATTTTCATATGTTATTATTTGGCTATCATCGTAATATCACTTAAGAAGTTCTGCTTCTTAGAATAAAGCAGTTCTCAGTGTTTTCTCGTGAACTTCCCCTCACTGCTATGAGTACTTCATCTGACAATGACAACAAAAGTACCATTGTTTTTTGGTTCCGAAGACACTGTGTTCATACTCTGCTGTCAGGTGGCAATCCAATCTCTCTTTTTCATGTCTTCTGAGTGGACCAGAGTTTTCCTTCACAGCAGTCCTGCCCCAAGGAGTAGTGCAGTAAGATAATGTTATACACATAATAAGATAATACATAAGATAATGTATTACACAATGTAATACACAATATCTTTTCTGAGAGACAGCGCTGTACTCGTGTCACAGTCATCCGCACCAGACTTTTTGTCACCAGATCCCTTAGCTGTTCTTTTATCTGACT